GTTCAGGTCGGGTTTAAGAATTATTGAATTGATAAAAATAATTCTATATTTAAATCATAATAATACTAGACATAGATTTGGTCAGCGTCTATGAGCGGGAGGGGTAGGAACAGTTTGCATCCTATTTTTTTGAGGGGGTAGTGGGTAAGCTGCTAATGGGGGTAGGATAAATTTTTTTGGGGGGTTATCTATTAAATTTTTAGATGAAATAAGATAAAATTTATTGATGTAAAAATTAATACTTTTATTATAGTATTATTATAATACAATTCATCGACCAAATCTATATATTGCAAACAAACATACACATTGTTTTCCAAATAAACTATCCTTTTAAATATAATTTAAAAGGTTTAGATATTTCAGCAAGCTCATAATGCCATAATAATTAATTCATTGTAAATAATGGAGGTTTTAATTAAATTTATTATCTAAAAAATAAATTCTTTATATTCACAAAATATCGATAGTTGGTAGTAGAGATAAATAAATTTAAGTTATCCTTTATAAATTATTTGAAAAGAGTATCAATAAATAAATAGGTAAAAATAATAATAAAGTGACATCCCCGCCGAAGGCGGCTGGAATTTTTTAGGGGGGTAGGCAAAGATTTTGAAGGGGGTTTGCATCCAGTGAAAATCCTGTCATGTAGACGCTGGATTTGGTATAAAAAATAAATTTTTTATTTTATTTATAAGCAAGATATAGTTAAGAATACAAATCATAGTCATGTATCAATTTTAAAAATTTTATTTATACGTATTTCTTTAAATTAACAATATACAATATAATAATTTTTACTTTGACTTGTTCACTTTCATTTTCCTCTAATTAATAATCTTTGAGAATAAATTAAAAATTAAAAATAAATGGCGTATATGAATTTATTTGTTTAAAATTTATTAACACTCCAATAGGAATCTTTGTGGATAAATTTTAAAAAATTTAAAATGGCGTAAATGAATTTTGTTTAAAATTTATTAACACTTCATTTAATTGGAAATTTGAAAATATTATAAAATCTCAATTAAATTTTAAAATTTTTATTTACAATTATACAAATATCTTATATGATTTTAAACAATACACTGAACCCGGTTGAACCCAGGTTCAAATAAAATTCCCTGGTTCGGATCGGGGGTTTGAAAATTTTATAAACGGGGTTCAGGTTCGGTTCGGGATTAGATTATTTTTCCGAAAACCCGGGTTTTTCTCCGGGTTCGAAATCAGTTCGAATCCCTGTCTATAACAATAGTCTTATTATTTTTTAAAATTAATATCAAATCTATATATATTACATAATATAATTCTGAAATAAAAATCGTTTAGGGAGAAAAAAATTATTAGGTTCAGGGAGGTATTATGAAGCCATTTAAAAAAAAATTCATAGGTGGCTAATCAATTTTTTCAGGGAGTTCGAAGCCCTGCTACCCCCCCCCCCTCCCCTTAGCACGTTAGTGAAATATGGTGGTTGGTAATGTTATAAGTTATTTTTTAAATATTTTATAACATTTAATAATCTATGTAAAAAGTATTATTAGTTGGATTTGGTTATTATTTCATATCGTAATTGTTAAAATATTAACTATCTCTTTTTTTACTAATAATTTGTATAATTTTTGACTAAATGATCATTATAAATTAATCTCTTAAAATAACTATTTTATTCATCTATTATTATAGTAAAGTAGATAAGTAGGAAGTTAATAATTTGACTAAAAACAAAAATTATTAAATTAGCGAATAATATTAAAACTATGTTACTTTCTTTTATAAAATGGTTAACTATTTTCTAACAAAAATATAATTGGCTTTGAAATATAAATAGGAAATATGAATAAATGAATGTGATATATCATTCTATTTCAATGACACAATTTTAAAATATTTTATATTTTTTTTAATTATAAATGATAAGAATTGAGTTTAAAAATCAGGGATGAGAATCCTCCTTCTAAAAAATGAGTTGACTATCTTAATTTTTATTAAATGAATACTATTTTAATTATAAGATTAGATTATTACATATAAATTATACTATGTCAGCTTGCAATCAAATTCTATGTTAAAAATATATCAATATCACTCATTAAATATTAATTTAGCATTAACAGTTGAAGCTTAATTGACTTTTGTTATTTAAATTATTATATAACCCTAATTAAATAAATATAATTATTTATTAATTGAAAATTTATAATTTATTATTTTAGCCGAGTTCAAAATAACTAATCAACTATATAAATGTAAATTCATTTTATTATATTAGGAATATCATAGATTTATATAAAACTATATCACAATTTTAAAATAATACATTGAACGTTTGATTTTTAAATTTAATTATCATGTCTCTTCCTAAAATTATATTCAAGGTCCAAATCCAAATAAGTATAAGAGATTTATTTATAAAAAGTAAGTAGACATATAGTTTATAATCCTCTATTATATATAATTTTTTATAAAATATTAGGTAAAATGCCACTTTTACAGATCTGACATTTATATAATATATTACAGTTAATATTTTTAAAATTTTACTAATAAATGATTTTGATAATAAATATAAGTAACGCCATCTATTTATTTATAATATTAATATTAAACATATTTATTCATCCCACAATGGATGTAATAAATTAGATATCTTTTCTTTTTTACGTGTTTTTAGGGAAGCTATTTTTTTTCTTCTTCGGAATATAGATTTGCGTTAAATTTTTAATACGAATATATTTTTGATATTATTACAAATTACTATTATTTTAAGATAAAATATACCAACTAGAGATGGTGCGACAATAATATATAAAATCTTAATTGCTTTCATGATATCACTCTGGTTCTTATTTTGTAGTTACAAAATGTTTCCTTTCTAATAGCATTTTTGCCGTGTAAATAACTCAAGGCTTCAATATATTCGCATAATTTCTTCTAAATGTTTTTAGTGTTTTAGTGTTTTAGTTTTATCAATTTATCTAACAGAATAAATTCTGATATGGGTTACCATCGTGAGTGTCATGGCTAGGACTGTAAATTAACCAGCATCTATTATTTTTGTGATGTAATTAAAGATTATTAAAGCTGCTGAGAGAATATGATCACATATTTTAGATAAGCAATAATGGTCAACTGTGTAGTCGTTTATATATCATTAAAAATGGAAGATAATCTTTTAGAAATTTAATATCATACAATAATTTTCTCGATTACTTATCTAGCTTACATCACGTCATCTAAGAGGAAGCTCTAACCACCATATATTTTTATGATTATTGGTCGTTTATATTCTCTTCTTCAATAATTGTTCATTTGGTAAGGTCTATAAATTTTTTCTTATTAGTCCATTCTATAAAACATTGTCTAAAATGGTAATAGAGAGTTATATTATTGTCTAAAATGGTAATAGAGAGTTATATTATTGTCTAAAATGGTAATAGAGAGTTATATTAGTTTCATGACCTTATGTCGATGTAAGTTCCTAAGATTATATTATATTATGTAGTTTTCAAAAACCATTATCAATTGAGGCATATATATGAATTAATTAACCTTTTTAATCATTTATAATTCTTTAGACGCATTATTTTTTTTATATCAACAATTGAAAATATTTTAATAGATTTTATATTAAAAAATATTATTTTTAGAAATGTCTTGTATTATTTTCATGATTTATATGCTAGTTCATTTTGCATGCAAAATATAATAAATGACACTCAGAATAATTATTTAGAGTTAGGAAATTTTAAAAAAATATTATATATTAATATAAAACCCAGCCGAAGGCCAGCAAAATGGGGAATATGGGGGCGAAGCCCCCCATAATAATTTTTTAGTTGAGCCCCCTGAGATTGTAAAGGCTAGCGACGCGCCCCTGCTCTGATACTCTTCGGGAGCTTTAAATATTAAAGTGTTTCAAATTAGAAGCCATTTTATTGCTTTATTTTGAATCGATGTAATAATCGATGATACAGAAGACTTAGCATCTTCTATCATTTTCCATGCTGACAAAGTACCTATTTTTTTGAAGATATGACAGTGGCGCAATGATTTCAAAAATTTCCAAATATATTATAACTGTACTTAGAGTCTTATATTTACATAAATTAACAAGTTTTTGTCTCAAATTATTTATTATATATTATAAATTGAAGTGAATTTATCGTTATTGGGAGCAAATCTATTTACCATATATCCTCTAAGGGCTTTTTCACTTGCCTACCACCTTGTTTAACCTATTTTTTGCAGCTTTCTCAACTTATTTTGGCCAGATGAATTATTCTGTTTCACCCAAGCAGCTATCCTTTTATATGATTCACCGACCTGGATTTTATTTGATTTCAATGAATTAAGAACAAGAAATGTTGGCTATATTATTTCTACAATAAATCAATGTATAAAAATGTAATATAATAAATTAATCAAAACTTTCACTCTCTGGTATTTTTTCATTAAATTATAGTAAACGACATGACAATTGTCAAGGAATGTGATATTCAAATCATAGAGATATCATTAAAATAAATAAATGATAAGAGAACATAATGTGAACATAATAATATATTTTTTCTAATCGGCCTCTTTTATGATATTATCCTCTGATCAGCCTCAAAAATTGACATTTTCTCGCGGCCTCGTGGGCATGCCCACCCCCTGCCAGACAATAGATAAGAGTATAATATCAAAATCCTATACTTTTACTGCAAGACAAAAATAAGAAGTCAAGCAGATATCATACCGCCCAATTATTAACTAATCAATACTTTAAAAATATATATATATAAGTAGTTAAATAAAGAAGTCGTTGATTTCCTTCACGCACTATATACAATTTAAAATTTTTTATATACCTTTTTTGAATATATTTAATAAAAGATGAGTATAAATTATACCAAAATTTGCCACCTATTATCAGTTAAGTGACCTATATATTACCTTTGTATGGAAAAATTCTGTAAGGTCTTATAAAGAGATATCAGCTGTTACTTACCTCTCAAGTGTTGGGCTTTTAAATTTACAAATGGGAAAAAGTAAAGCAAAATTTTTAAATCTGAAGTTAGTTTAAAGCTAATAAATATGTTCATATTATATTAATAGTTTTATATCAATAAAATTATCTAAAGATTATTCATGCTTATTTGTTAAGAAGAATCAAAGCTTTAATATAAATGGATATTTAATATATCAAGTTGTTAGTGGTGATTCTAGTATTTTTGGATATAAAAGTATTAACAAATCTTCTCCAGTCATTTTATTTTCATTTCCAACTACTGGTACCTATCAGGTTGTGACAGGTCAGTAAAGTTGATTATATAACTTTGAAAATTAATTCTGATATTTAAAATAATAATTATAAATTTAAGTTCTTATTATGTTTATTAGGATATAGTAATTACCTGGATATTCCTAATTTATCAAAACCTCTTCTGGATTATACAATTATTCTAATACAAGATTTAAAACACATTCTTTATATATCAAATAAAAATGATAAAGCAAACAACAAAATAAATTTTATTTCTAACAATAACAATAGTGAAAATTCAGTTAAAATACCTTTGTTAACAGACATAAAATCTTTTTTACTATCAGACAAATTTAAGGGCATATTTCATAAATTTTCTTTAATAAGTTATCAAATAAAAAATATCTTTTATTTTGAATATTTAAAAAATATATTACCCAAATTTTTTAATGCAACCCAATTCCAAATATTATATAATCCAGTTTTGCCAGATAAGTGTTCTTCAAATGATAAAATGGATAATTTTATATTTTTAAATTCCAATTTTAATGAAATTTTCCAAGACACATACGATTCTATAAATGATGATGTAATAATTAATAGCCAAGTTATAAAGGGAACTCATAAATCCACTAGCAATATGGAGCAAGAGGATATTCAGATAATTGCATGCAAAATATCTATACCTGAGATTGAAATACTATATGAAGCAAACACGAAAGAGACAATAAGTAAAATTCCAAATCTCTTAATAACAGAAGATACTTCTGCCACTCAAATTACTAATGACTTTTTCCATAATCCATTTATTATCCCTTCATGTGAAAATCATATTAACTCTATGTTACAAGCACATTGTCCAAACTATCCCAAGTTTTTAGTATGTGGTAAGCTAGGAGCTGGGAAATCTACTTTTGCCAGATATCTGCTAAATCGCCTAACTACCAATTTTGATGATAACATATTATATACATATAATTACCCATCTAATAGTAAAATCGCAAATGATATGCCAGAGAAACAACAAAATTTTGAAGGTATTATATGGATGGAGTGTGATGTTGGCCAGCCTGAATATCATCCACCTGGTATAATTTCTTTAGTTCTTATTAAAAGAGCTATTATTGATGATAATGAGAGTCATTGCATACTTCCGTCATGGTTGAATGATAAATCATATTCCAAAAAATCGAATGTTAAAGTTATCAAGTACATAAATTTTATTCTTAAATATTAATCATAAAAAAATGTTACTATAATTTTTGACACTTTTATTTGAAAATGATGAAATATATGACATGTATACTTATAAAACTTAAGATCAATGTATTATGGACACAACACACCTTCCATCAATCCAATTATCTATATAAAAATGATCCATGATTTATACACCTATTACAAAGAACATTTATTTGACAAATACCCATTAATAGTCAACACTAATGGTTGGTTTAAAGGTAATATTTTAAATTAGGTTACTATGTTTAATTTACTATTTTTCATCTCTATGAGCTAGATTTTTATTGGTTTATGTATTATAATATTTGTTTTCAACAATTAAAATCGATTAGTTTTACATTTATTTTTATTATTTGTATAAGGGACAATTAACAACACTTTATCAAACTCCCATCAAGCCAACTTTAAAAAAAACTTACAACTTTTTTTTAAAAAACCCAAATTTAACCCTCAAATCAAAAGAAAACGATATTATTTTTTTTAAGTTAGGCTGTTACCTAAATTTATTTTTGTAAATCTCAAAATTTATAAATTTTCTTAACTTTATGAAATTATAAAACATGACCAAAATCTTCCATCAAAATTTTGAAATTTATAATTCCTACCAGATTATTTTTTTATATTTGATTAATATACAACTACCCATTTCTTATTATAATTTGAAATATAAATTAATATTACTTTATTTTTTGTAAAAATTTCACAACTTTATAAATCCCTAAGCTAAAATTTATTAAATTTTATTCATTTTGAAAATTTAAAAAAAATTAATAAATTATCTTCAATTCGAAAAAATAAGTTTTTATTTTTACATTAAAAAAAGCTTATTTCCATTTTTTCCTTAAAGTTAATGAATTTAAATAATTATATTTTTGATTAGGTCACATTATCAAAAGTTTTATTTTTTTTCAAATGTCATACCAAAGCGTTCAGCATTTAGGAAATTCAAGTTTTATTTTTTTTGAAGTTTTACACAAAGGTCATACCAAAGCGTTCAGCGTTTAAAAAGTTGACCCTTTGCTACTCATTTTTCCTTCTTTCTTTCTTTCTTTCCGACTAAGAAGGTCGATCTCTCCCAGCTAAAAGTTTATTTTAAATACTTATCTAAATATATATATGTACTATTTCTTAATTTTTTTTTTTATTTAAAAAATGCATATATTAGGGCTAGGTATATATCTATTGGCGCAGATTATACATACCATCAAACCTGACACTGTTTTTCAAGTAGTTTTAGCAGACGGTGTAGCACTTGGCAATGAAAATGACAAGTCGATTAAGGATATCATGTCACATGATAGATCGATTCTCACCTTTTTGAGATCATGCGCTAGATTCGTTCTTAATGATGGAACGGGTTTAAGCGAAACTACGATAAATGATTGGCACGTTGATAAGCCTTTCACCGATTATCAGTTCATAATGGAGAAAAGAAAATCACTTATTCAATCGTTTGCAATTTATTTTATTTTTTTTAAAATATGAAATCCTTGCTAAATCTTTTTTTTTTAAAATATAATAATTAAAATGGCATATTCCTATTATTAACTATAGCTACATCATTTAAGACACACTGATGAAAACATTTTTTAAAAATTTATGACGTTCTGAACTTGAGATAGAATCTTAAAAATCAGCCCTACCTGAAGAATCAGCTCGAGGGGTCGATAATAGATTCGGATGAACCCGATTTCGATACCGGAATCAAATTATTGTATGAAATTATAATTTAATTAATGGATAAAACAAGAAATTTTTTCTTTCTTTCTTTCTTTCTTTCTTTCTTTCTTTCTTTCTTTCTTTCTTTCTTTCTTTCTTTCTTTCTTTCTTTGTGTAATTAGTTTGCCACAGAGGTGGATCACAAATAACACCAGCGACATAAACCGAGTTATAATGATAATTTGAAGGGTGTTTAAATTTTTTGGCTATTTTTCAATTAATTACGTATGTCATTTAAGGAGCACGTTTTTTTAAAAAATATTTTAAATCAGATTTTGCCAGGTTAAATTTAAATATTTTTTTAAAAAAATATACATGTTTTAAATTTCGTGTATTTGAATAATTATAAAATATAACTTTTATAATTTAATAAATAATTTTATTTAAATATACTATAATCATTTTAAAAATAATTCTGGATTAGCTGGGTTTTTTTTATTTTGAGAATTTTGGACCTACGTTGTGAGTGATCGGCCAAAAATATATTTTATCGATAATTTTGGTTTCTGGATTTTATTCGCCTACAATATCTAATACATTTTGAATATTTTTTACCTACCCAATCAATCATTATAATTACAAATCAATTATATTTAGGCAGGATTTCAAGAAAATAACTAGTATCCAAAATCGAGCATTGCTTATAGCTTGCTATTTCGCCAAACTAAGACATCCAAGCTTAATACCTAGAAAGTTTTACACAGGTTGGATGCAAACTATCAAACCAATCGATGTAATGAGATTCATTAATAAATAATTAAACTTAAATGTTTTATATTTTAATAACGTTCTTCGGATTGCATTTCTTTCATAAATTTTTGCCGCACCCTTTATATTATCTCAATTATTTAAAATCTAACGTTCTTAATCGAAAATTTATATTTAAACTAAATTATGATCTTTACAAATATATATTCATTAACAGTTTGCATTCAAGCAAATCCTTTCGATTAGTTTACTGCCTAAAAAATGTTATCTAACATCAAGATCATCGGCTGAAAATTTTCAATTGAAAGCATCAATTGAAGAATGTTTGACGCATAAATTGATTGGATTGGGCTACATTACGCAAACCAAACATGTTAATTTATATTTATTATTTTTTATAGTTTTTAAAAAAGAAAATCGAACTCTCAATAATATCTGCATGATCCCTCATTCATAGTTAGCTCGAATTCGCGGCGCGCATTTATATAGACTTCGCCGCAAATTTGCACTAACTGTGAATGCAGTGTAAAATCATTTAAGAGCGAATACATTTTGGCCGGAGTTAAGAGATGGTTATTATATAGAATATTTTTGATAATTCTAATAAAAAGATTTCAGTAACGAGGAATCGACTTCAGGATAAATAATACAGTGTCAGTCAACGTGTAATAAATTTTTACAAAAAAACGACTAATTTAAATTTTATTAAATTTTTTTTTCAAGCATATTAACTCTAACTATAATATCTTTCTATCTTTTTTACTTAGCGTTTGGCCGTCAACACTGTGTCTTTTTCTTAGTGTTCAAGAGATTGGTTTTCAAAAAAATAGGCCCCTCCGAAGATCGAATCTGGGCCGAAATAGCCTGCCCTTCTCATCCCATGTCTCTAACTTTCTGACTCTAAACTATAGCTGCCATTCAAAAATATTGTTTTTTGTGGATAATTTACAAACACATTTTTAAATAACCTATAAACTCCGGCGCTCATCATTATTACTTTTGACTTCAAGGAGTCAAGATAAATAAGATAGTACTTAAGATTTCACTACTACTATAATATTTAGTAAGATATTTTATAAAATGCAATTATATTTGAAAATTTATTTATATACAATATAGTAACTCAATAATAATTATATACATTTTTAATACTCGCAGGATAATGACGACATTGATAATACATTGTCCGCCAAAATAGATTATCAACTCAATGCAAACCACGCACTCGTTGGATTAGGTAAATTTTCATTTTTAATTCATATAAAGAGAAAATAACGCAGATTTTATGTTGTTTTACATTTCGCATTCAATAATATAACTCATCTTAGCAATTTTCAAATTGATTTGCTTATCATTTTATATTTATTTATGCAATAAAAATAGGTGTAGTTAAAGAAATTAATTTTGAAGAACAGGTTATTTCTATATGGACACCTATATCAAACGATGAAATAGATCAAATTAATTATATGATATTAGGGACGATTGAACTTCCTTCTGAAATTTGTGAACTAAATTTGGTATGTGTTAAATTTAATTTTTTTTAAAAAATATATATAATGATTAGAGATCTGCACGGCTCGAAGTCCGTCTCAAGTTATAGTTGGGTAATGGCTAAATATCGTCTAATTACAGGCGCGTGCCGGAGAAAATCTGTTAACATTAAGGCGTTTTAATATGTATTAGTTTATTTTTCAAATTTGAGCTGCTATATTTTTAAAACTCCAAGACCAAGATGATAGTTTTCGCTTAAAAAATATAGTAATTACCCAGCTATAGTCTCGAGTGCCTGCCAAAAATAAATCACTTCGGGTTGAGATCAATTTCTATAAAAATATTTTACGGTCCGGGACAAATACTAACATTGATCACCCAAAGTTTTATTTGTATTATGTGATGATATAACATAATTATACCATAATATATTGTTTAAGCAATCCACATAACTTATTTATTAAAAAAATTTTATATTAGTTGCTATGCAAGAATAATAATAAAAATATTTAATTCCGCTAAAATAAATTTTACAAAATTTAGCTAATTTAAAACGAGTATTATTTTTGGGATTTATTAATTAATCAATATTATTGATTTACACGTGTTCATATCGAAATTTACTTTCCTCAAATATAAAATATAGGCGTATCCATGATAGATTTTGGTGCGTTCTGCACGCGTTTCCCCTTCCCCCTTAGGGTTGCCTTTGGTATTAACAAATCTTATATAATATCAGACCTGCAGAGATGCCATTTGCCCAGCCCATATTTTTTTTATTTTCTGCCAGGAGAGTGCAGACTATCCAGTGATGCATAATTTTTTATATAAATTATATGAGAAGCGTTATTAAGCTTCTTTATTAAACTCAATAAAAATATTTTTAATTTAGTAAATTGTTTATGGATTAATTAGGGGCAAAAAACGTCAAATGAGTCCATATTTAAGAGGAAAAATAAACGTTGCGCGTCTCTAAATAGCTTGAAAAAAAGTGAACATGATAATAATAAAAATTTGAATCATCAAATGGAATTGGATGATTCGCAAAGAATGCTTTATAAAGTTTTAAGTACACCGGTTAAAATGAAACGTACGGATCCAAATAAGAAAAGAATTCAAAATAAATTCTCAAGAAAAATCATAAATATTTAAATATTCTTTTATGCAATGTATATTTTATTTTTTGTAGATTTGTATTATAACGTTTTCTTTTTTATTATATGTGCCAATTAAAATATTAATATCTATGCCATCCTTATAGTCGCGTATTCAATGTTGATAATTAATCAAGGAATGTTAAAGAATTATAGGCTAGGGTTAATTAAAGATTTGACATATAGGATAGCTTTTAAAAAGGTATAATCTTTTTTTGTTAATATTTTGTCAAATCTGACTGGTCTTGTAATTATAAATAGAAGGATAAAATTTTAAATAAATCAGCTGTGCTAGCGACAATTATATGAGTCGGACCATAATCGAAAATATGAGGTAAAAATACATTTTTTTATATCACTATAAAATATAGTAGTGACAAAATATATTATAATTCTTTCTTATTTTAAAATTGATAATCTCATATTTCTTTAGTGGGTGAAAATATTTAAATGTTATTTGTTGGTAGATGTTAGCAACAGGAATGTGATCCCTTCGACAAAAGTGCCCGAGTTCAGAAATAAAATATTTGAAAAAATATTTGGCCTCAGGGTTTGGAGAGAATAAAAATAAATTGCTATAATATAACCATTTATTTTTATTCCACTCTATATTTTATAAACAATATTTACTACCAAATTTTTTTTTAATTTTAAATATTCTATTCTATCAAACAATCAACATGTTTCTAAATATCCTCGCCTGGCGGTTCCAATTTGTTACTAAGGTTGCTCAGTCTGATTTCAAAAAATTATTATCAATTATGATTTGACCATGTTTTGAGATAATATTATTCCAAATGATTTTTTGTTTTCCAGCTTTTACTTTTCAACTCAGCGTATACATGAGCGTGAAGGTAAGAACAGTTTGTATCCAATATTTTTTATGGGGGTAGGATAAATTTACTGGGGAAGGGTTGTCTCTCAAATATTTAGATAAAATAGGGTAAAATGTATTGCTGTAAAAATCAACACTTTTATTATAAACCTATTATAATATATATTTCTAAACATCGACCAAATCTATATATTGCTCACAATCATGGACATTATTTTCCAAATAAAACAATTTCTAGATCAGTTTCTGCTATCCTTTAAAAATAATTTAAAAGGTTTAAACCCATATTTCATGCCAAACAGTATACTACAATAATACATTCATTGTAAATGTGAGTTTTAAAATTGAATTCATGTTCTAAAAAATAATTCTTTTACGTTCACAATATTTTGATAGTTGTTAGTAGAGTATTAATATATTCTTTTTAAATTTTATGAAAGGACTGGTAATATAATTAAAAGGGCATAATTAATTATGTAGAAATATCGCTACCGAAGGTAGCAAAATCTTTTAGAGGGCTAGGTATTGTTTTTGAAGGGGATTTACATCCAGTGAATATTCTGTGAACGGGGGGGGGGCGCATCCAATTTTTCTTGAGGAGGGTAGGATAAATTTATAGGAGGGTTATCTATTAACTTAATGATATAGGGCAAATAAATTGCTGTATTAATTAATACTTTTATCATAGACGTATTTTTATGCAATGTATAGCTAAACATAATCAAATCTATATATTACACATTCATTGACATTATTTTCTAAATGACACCATTTCTGGGTAATTTTCTGCTATCCTTTTAAATGTAAATTAAACGTGAGTAGGGCATTTTATCAGTAAACTCGTATTCACGCCAAACAATATACTATAATAATGCATTCATTGTAAATGAGGGGGTTTTTAATTGAATTCATGTTCCAAAAAGAATTAATTTTACATTTACAATTTTTAGATATAAAACATTAATCACTTAAGTTATTCTTTTAAAATTTATATAGGAGTACAATTATATAAGTAATTAATAATGAGGTATGTAAGTATAGGTTTATGAGGGTGGTTTACGTCTACTGACAATCATATCATGAAGATGCTGTTTCAACCAAATGATTAAAATACAAATATTTTATTTCAAGTATAGATAAAAATTCGAATATATTTTTTAAATATAGATAAAATTATATACATTTTATTTAAAGGATAAGTTTATATACAAAATATAAAAATTTTATTAATATAAAAGTTATAAAATACACTTAATTTAAATTTATAACTAGAATGCAAAAATAATAAATGGTTAAAATTTGCCGGCTCAAATAAAAAATATTTTATATTAAATTATAATTTATATTAGAATTTTATTTGGATAATTGAGGCATAAAACTAAAAAATTATAAGAAATGAATAATGGTTCCACGAAAAAATCCATATTTTTCATTATTTTTATTTATGTCTTGAATTTGAAAATATTTCTTACACAAGAAGAGGGTTCGGGTTAACATTTTTATAGTAGGCACATTCAATTTTACTAATTCTAACTTAGTATTATTAAGAAGCTCGATTGGGTTAATTTTTTAAAACGGCCCGATTAGTCTGTTAGCCAAAATATTAACATGCCAGCCTGGAGATTTTGCTTAAAATGGCAGAAAGGTTTTAACCTCTATTTCAAATCTCGAGGATTGCATAATATCATTTTGGCTAATATCTTCATCAGGCTTTAAAATTCGAACCAAATTTTCTTTTTAACAATGCCATTCAAGCCTCATTAAAAAATTAAAGTATTAAATTATTTTTACGAATTCTCTGATTTGTTTAGAAAATAAATTGAAAAAGTTAAAAAAATTTTTACAGGTCATTTTCTAGTAATTTTATCCTAATGCTTCTCTATGCGCCTGAATTTTATCCTCGAATTCAAGCTTATAGTTGCAATCACTATTGACATTGCCTATTAAAACAATTTTTAACCAAAATAGCAACCAAGATGGTTAAATGATTCTATTTAGAACGATTTTTAAATATAGTAGATTATGATTTTAGATTAAATAATAAGCCTCATTTGACAAATATAAGTTAAAAACTTTCTGCAATCTTTGAGCAAAACCTCCAATCTTACATAATTTTAATTCAGCTAAAACTTCAATCGGGTAGTTTAAAAATTGATCCTAATCTGCCGAACAAAATATTAATTTCCCATAAAAAATCATGGCCTACTTAGCGAATGATTAGTTTTCATATGAAATTTCTGACTTACAATTATCTTAACATTGTTAATTTTGTTATAAATCTTATAGAATTATCATGTTCAAAATAAATAACCATCAAAATTGAACCAACTAATTTAAAATTATTTGTTATCAATGTCAGACATCATTATTTGTCTGCTTTCCAAACTGTGACAGATCTCGTTAAGTATTTTCTGATAAATCAGTTAATTATGATAAGTTAAATGTTTTTTGAAAAATTATTCATAAAATCATCTATATTTTATAAAGTATCAAGAAATTTTTGTAATAAAGTATCTTTTGATAATAATAAAATTGTTGAATATATTGATTTTGTTAAAAAACAACAGTTAACTAATCATTTCTATTTATTTGAAAATTTATTATTAAATTGGAATAATTTAGCAAAAGTTGAAAAAGAATTGGTTGAATTAGATAAATTAATAGGTATTGATTTATCTTAAACTCACTTCAATAAGATTATAGAGGAATATAATGATGATCAATTATTAATTTTGGCAGCAAATGACAAATATAAATGCCTTAATTGTATTGAGGACCTAAGAAAGCAAGTTATAAACAATTTATCCTTCATTAAAATTATATATATTTATATAGATATTTGACCAAGTTCTAACATTAGATAGATTTATTGATGTAAAATTACAAAATAAAGATTCAACAGAACTCAAACATTCCAGTGATAGGGAACATGATTTTTTTAATTATGAGTTAGATGAAAATGGAATAGCCTTGGAAATAACATCAGGTGTTGGTGGTCAGGAGTCCTCCTTATTTGTTAATGAATTATTTGAGTTGTACAATAGTTATGGACTTTGGCTAGGTCTACAATTTAATATTCTACATAGTGGGAAAACTGACATAGGTATATAATATTTAATTTTCTGTAAATATATAGGGCCATTTTAAAATTATATAATTTGATCCAGGAGACTAACCTGATACTATAACTAGCCTTGGACTCATTATCAATTTATTATACTCTTATTGTTCCTTATATCTTTAAGGTTTAATTTACCATTGACTGTTTATTTAAATTATTAGTAGAATTTACCCAAGGTGTTTAAGATATTTTTTAATATTTCTTGAATTTTTAAAAAAATTGGTTTGGTTTGGCTTTTTTTTACTTCCTATTTTTTAATATTATTTTAGGCAGAGTATGCCTATTATTGTTAAAAAGTCTCATTTAGGTCATTTTTTATAAATGCCTAATTAAAATTTTAGCCAAAATATTATTATGTAAAATCCTAGAGATTTGGCAAATATCTGTCCATATCTTTCTGCCATCTGTTAACAAAATCTCTAAACCAGGTTTAATTTTAGCTTTACCCATTTGGGGTGGGGGCATACAAAAATTTTAGAGTGCCAGTTAAGATCTTTTTTAACACCATTAAATAAATATTTGACTTGTTTGAACTCAAAATTGAAATAATGATTTTATTTGAAAAATGTTGCATATTAAAATATACATAAATATAATTATGATCAAATATGTTTATAAAATTAGATCAAAAATGAGAATTGACTAATAGCAGAAAAGAAATAAGTTAATTTAATGATTTCATAAATATTATGTAATATCATTGTTATAGTATTGTACAGCAGTATAAAATGAACAATAATAAAGCATTGACAATACAATATTGGTTGATATATATTTTTAAAAAGGGGTTCGAACCAAAGGCGGAGAAGCCAGGTTTTTCTGAAAAAAATTTGAACCCATACCAAACCTGAACCCCATTTATAAAATTTTAAAAACCCCAAAATGAACCTGGGAATTTTATTTGAGTTAGGGTTCAACTGGGTTAAGTGCTTTGTTTAAATTAATATAAGATATTTGTATAATTGTAAATACAAATATTAATAATACTTGACATTTTATAATATTTTCAAATTTTCATTTAAGTGAAGTGTTAATAAATTTTAAACAACTTAATTCATTTACTCCATTTTTAAATTTATTCTCGAAGATTCCTATTGGATTGTTAATAAATTTTAAACAATTAAATTCATTTACACCATTTTTTTAATTTTAACTTATTCTCAAAGATTATTAATTAGAGGGAAATGAAAGTGAACAAGTCAACGTAAAAATTATTATATTGGATATTGTAAATTTAAAGAAATACATCTAAATAATATTTTTTTATACCTAATTCATGTCTAGTTTTTTAATTATGATTTAAATATAGAATATTTTTGTTTATCAATTCAAAAATTCTTAAACCCGAGCTGAACCCAGAACCAAACCCGGGTTTAAAAATATTTCCCTGAACCATACCCAAACCAAACTCACCTATTTTTTAACCTTAAACCAAACCCAAACAGAATCCAGGCAAAAATTTTGCCAGGTTCGCATCTCTATTTTTAAATGCCTTAAAAACATTTTCAAGGTTAATAGTTTCATTATAGTTTTTTATGTCCTAATAAAACCAAGTTACCCTTTCTTATACTACTACAGAGACATTTATCTAATTTAATAATTCTTTTTAGTGATGAAAAGTTGACTCACAATTTGATATGGATGATCTAAACTGATGCAGAATATTTAAAAACATTTGGAAATGCATTTGTGAGGGTATAGAAATTTGTCAAAATCTGATGTAACACTATCTTTATAATTTTCTTAACATTTAACAATTAATTTTTTAATAACCTTGATTTCATTTACTGATAACTCTTCGGTAATATTGTTTTCCAAAAAGGTTTCTATTTATTTATGTCTAGAATAAAATGTCTACCTTGATTTAAATTTTTTTTCCAATCGTTAATTAGTTTATACAAAAAAAAGTTAAAAATCTTTTGTTCTTTAGGATCCATCATGTTTTTCAAGGCCACTTTTTCAGGAAATTTCTTCCAGTTGGTAAAACCCGTTTTGCTGTAACCATTGTTTAAGTTATAGATCCTATGATGAAAGCAAAAAACAAAAAACTGCATCCAATTATTTATTCAACACACATTCGTATTTATAAAACTTTAAACATTATTAGTAACAGTCTTTTTGAGTGATATTGGCCCATTTGGTAATACCTAATTTAAATCAGTTGGTTTTAAAAAAATATTTGAAATAAGAATGACTAAAAAATCTAATCTCCCCTTTTTGTTATTGGAAACTCAGACTCATTTTCCTTATTCTGAATCTTGGCACCTTGATCATTTCATCCACCAAATTCATTTAAATTTTCTCCTTATTCCTCATAACAATATGGGGTGTGGTTGGCGCTATTAGGTATTTCAGCAAATATGAATGAATAGTTTTTTAAAGCGATAGTAGTTTGAAAGCTATTATTTATCTCTTATTATTACATTCTTTTTTAAAATAAATTATCAAAAAAAAATATTTAAATGTTGGGGGGCACTGCCCCCCCCCCCAATAGGCCTAAGATCGTGCCTGCTTCAAACTTGCATATTATTTTAATTGGAACGTTTTTAAAAATCCACCTAAATTGGGCTTTTTAACTATACAAGAGTACCAATACCACTTTTTTTTTGACCATATTGCCAATACTTGATACTATAAATGAAATATAATCCAAGAAACTTAAGTTTAAGAGAAATATATGGTTTTTTATAGTCGCCATTTCCACAAAAATATTTTTTTTAATTTAAGCCTTAATAAATGTCTTTCTATTTTAATGAAGATTGTAGTCTGCATTTATTTCCCTGTTTTCATAATAAATTAATTCCACAACAAAATTTTAAAAGTAAAAATAAATAGGCAAGAAATTATAAATGTAGTTTTTTAGAAAAGTGATGTCACGATTGTTTACATATTTTTTCTAAAAATGTGCATATAAAATGCTAATCATAATCAAAAAATTTTTTAAGAAAATTCCTTTTTTGTTCGAAGGTCTATAATCAGGTCTAATAGACCAGTCTTTTATATGGTCTTTAGTCTAAGACAATGCAACCTATTTTATGTATAAAATTTTGGTCCAAAAAATGAATTATATGTTCCCACCTCTTTGTGTCTCTCTGGTACATCAGCACGTGAACAAGACCATTAGTATTCATTATATTTAAAAGAAAGCATCAATGATAATTTTGTTTACGTATATACGATATTTTGATATAAGATAGAATTATATATTAGACTCAGAACTTAATGGGTCTGAACTGGTCTTTAAGTTTTAGGTTCAGACCGAGAGTGGGACCATGTAGATCGATTTTTTAACTTAAACCAAATTTAAAATTTTATTTTTTTGACTGATAAAATAATGGTGGCTTTATTATTTTTAATTTTAATTAATGTTATTTCCTAATTGGGTGGCCTGATGCATTAGTCAAATTTTCGTTAATACACCTAATTTAAAATAATTCCCTCTTCCTCCCTTTTTTTGATAGAGGCTAGTTTTTAAATTATAATTTGATAAATATGGTTAATTAACCTTTTTTCTGAGAATAAACAAATCAAATAAGTAATCTAATCATTTTTAAAATGTTTGGTTGTTTTGCAAAATTTAAAAAAGATTAATTATATCTAAAAGATCAGTTTACTATTTAATTATTATTGTATGTTTAATCAACATTATTATAATACTTTCCCTGACACATTTGTTATCCTATCTTCTAACTCCCAAATATGTTTCAAAATCAAATTTAATAAACAATGAAACCAAGGTGGCAATGGAACATGGCTAATTTTATAACCTCAACCAATCTCTTATGTATCAACCATGATAGAATTTCAAGCTACATCTGACTCGTTTAATAAAATTATGTTTTCAAATGAAATAAATAAAAATGAATAATGGCTATTACGACCATTTAATTCATCAGCTGGATCCCAAGTAGTTAAACCACCATTTATCCTTATACCTACTGTAAATATGTGATGGGTTCATACGATAAAACCTAATATTCCAATTCCTGTTATATTCTAGACGAGTAGAAAAAGCTGAAGTGATAGATATCTTTCGATTAGAAAACTAGTTTTCTTTTATTAAATTCAAATCTCAGTGTCGAGTACATGAAGTTGCAATGCACTGCCAAAGTTAGGCATAAAATCAATCTTTTAATTTTTATCTAGATTTTGGAAGATATCATGATAGTTTTATAAAATAATCTAAGTCGCGACTCCAAAGCTAATCATAGTATTAAGTTTATTTTTAAATCTCCATAATTTTAACAGCTATGATTTCTGAAAAAATATTTAGGAGGTCTGAGAAAGGCAAAAGCTGAGATATCGGGTGATCCTTATTTAGTGAAAAATTTTAAATATGAATCTGGAATACATCGAATTCAAAGAGTGCCAAAAACAGAAAAAAGTGGTAGAATTCACACTAGCACAGTTGCTGTCTCTATCTTGCCGATATATCTAGACGTAAACAAAATTTTAATTTTGGTTTTTATTATAAATGTTAAATATTTAATCTGATAGTTTGTTTAATTAAGTTTATTAGTTCTTTTAGTACAGATTTTTTTAATCATGCTTGATAAATTTTTTAATATTTTTTTAAATAATTTTTTTTTTATAGATTGATGTTGAAATACACAATAAAGATCTTAGGATTGACACATATAAAGCACAAGGCAAAGGTGGACAGCACGTTAACACTACTGATAGTGCTGTGCGAATTACGCATGTGCCTACTGGTAATTAAAATATTTAAATTCATAACCATAATTTTTTAAAAAACTGTTATATAAATAAGTGGGGGAGGGGGGGGGGGTATATTAATTTGAATAAATTTTATATTCTGTTATATCCACATACTTTTTTTGACCAGATGGACTTAGACCTGAATTTTAAAATTGGAGTGGCTTGTACATAGACGCTGTGTGGGTCATGAAAATTTTCACTACACCATTAATCACGACATGAGCCTGGATTTTAATAAATAATTCTTTTGAGAAATTGTTTTTTTTTAAAAAGGGATACTCTGGAAATTAAAATTTTTTCCTTTCATATTTTTTTGGCCCACCCTCGCGTAATTCAATTTCTGTCCCTCTCCCCCCGAATTTAGATTTTGCCAATTTAAAAATATATATATTTCATAAAGTTATTTATTTAATTTTACTTCTCGTGATATTTAAATATGCCTGAAGATTTCTAACTACGATTTTCTATTAAAATGCTTACTTTTGCTTTTTAAGTTTTTTTGCAAATCTTCCTTAGTCCACTGAAGAATCAAATAAGAAATAAAATAAGTGAAAACCTTTTTTTAGCCTTACTTTTCGCTCTTCTTTCCATATAGGGTTTAAAAATTAAGACACCTATATTTTATATTTAGGCCTATATAATAATCTAATCTAGGAAAATATCATTTCCATGGAATTTTTAGAAATATTTTAAATATCAGTTGGAGATCAGAGGTTTTTCACTATTATCTTCAAAAATTGTTGACCAATTTTTCAATTGGCATAATTTTGTTAGGCTGTATATGAAAACTTATGATAATTTTTAGAATAAATATAAAATATATTGTGTTCTATGTGACAAATTTGATGTTTGTCATTACTTAACAGCATTACTTCTTAAATAGCGCCTTACTTTGTTTTTTTTTATGCTAATGATGGACTATAAATGATATAATTATATATTAATTCTTCGGCGAATTAGCATAATTTGCATTTCAATCCGGTCTCCTCTATTTGATAACCAATTATTTTACTGAAATATTTAATACCTACTATAAGAATGGCTGAATAGTATTCCATAATTAAATGCTGCCCAAACTCATGAAAAATCCTGATCATTTTAATCAAAAAACTTATTTCAGAGGTGATTATCATCACTGAGTATTATATATTTCAAATCTTACAATTTTTATTTTATTAAGATGACATGAAACAATATAAGTTATAATTATTATCCAAATGAAAAATTCTAGAGCATGTGTGCTCATTGAAGAGAGAAATTTAGGTATGTTCTTTATCTCTTCTAAAAAATCAATATATAAATTTTTCAAATATTCTGTTTGGGAGTGCGGGTCCCAATATTCCATTGGCCGATTTTGCCCATATCGACGGCTATTTCCATCCTCATCTTTTCGATTAGTTCCCATATCTTAAGTTTTTTAGACTTAATAAATTATTCGTTCGATTTTTCTCAGCAATCGTAACTTTGAATGCATTCCATGTTTCAGGGGAAACAATGGCTCTACTTGCCTTTGCGAATTTTTCCCATTTTTTAATTCTCCATTCACATAATTTTTATCAAATCCACGGTTCAATTTCGTTTAGGAATCTGTTCCGTGGTCCGGTTCGGTCTTTCGAGATCGGCTCCAACCTTGACTAAAACGTGACTTTCACTATAATAAATTTTATTTATTTGTACCTTTTTTTCTTAATAGGATTAGTCGCTGAGTGTCAGGAAGGAAGATCTCAAATAGCTAACAGAGAAAGAGCTTTTGAAATATTGAAGGATAAAATGATAGAACATAAACACGCTAATGCAACATCCCATTTTACCAATATTCGTAAAAATCAACGGGGTAAATGATATCTTAAATGTTAATTATCAAAAAAATAGATATATTATGAAATTTAAGAGATAATATTAATTTTTTTGAAATGAATTTTATTACGTTTTTCTTTTGGAGGGAAAAATGAAATATGTACAGAATATAGATTATTTTTATCTATTTTAAATTATAAGAATATTTTAATTATTTTTTAGAAGTTCATGATACCAAAAAAATGATTTGAAGATTAAAATCATTTATAATAATATAAAATTACCAAATAATTAAAACTAATTATTATTAAAAGAAACGCACTGATTTATATTATGATTTTTATTTTAAAATTTGATTTAATCATGTCAAATCTACCTGTCGGCTTCTGGTAGGACACACACATCCGCCTTTATAAAACCAACTCTATAGTATAAGCCCACTAACCTAATTTCATTGAGAAATCCCAGACATTTTCTTAACACCTATTTTGAATTAGAATTGTATATATATACATATTACAGAAGATAAGAAATGCATTATATAATAAAGGTTTCAAAAAAAGACTCACGTCACATGCTTCAATCACGATTTTTTTTAAGAAAAAATACCATTTTATTCGTAAGAGCTCAAATATGTAAATGGTCTGCAAATGGCAAAGTTTTCAGGCTCGGGCCGGTGGGAATTTAGTTATTGCTCGTCCTAGCAAAAAAATCAGGGGCCGGACCGGGCATTGAAGATTTACTAAAGCGATTTGTTCAGTGAATATTTTTTTCATTAATTATATTCGTATTTGAATAATTGTGTTTTATAGACAATTAATTTTCTTTCTTGGCATTATTATGGCTTAGAACGGATCGTTCGAAATTTTATTTGTATTTCGCCAATCGAGAAACTATGCGTAATAATGAAAAAATAATCAATAGAATAATTAGCCTTTTCTTTCATTACTCATATATTTGGTATTTAAAATTACTGGTAAATATTCAACTGATACTTTAATTTTCTTTGCCTAATTTAATTTTCATATCTCTTCTTCAACAAAAATGAATTAATATTTTTCGATCTAGTGATTATTTTATTCGTATTAATGCGGAAAATACTTCTGAGACTATTATTATAATCATTTTTAATTCTTAGCATTTTATAAATAAATATGTATTAAGCAATTTATTCAGAGCGAACTAATATATATATATATATATATATCTTTTTTGAAAAAATATTACTATAGGTACTCTAGGAAGATCGGAAAAAATTAGAACTTATAATTTTCCTCAAGATAGAATAACAGATCATAGGTTACCCGATAAGGCTTTCCACGGTCTTAAAAAATCTTTTCAGGAACAGACACCCACTCTCTTGCACGATATAATCTGTTCGATAGATGATTACCTTAAAAATCTTAAATTTCACCAAATCATGTCTCGATTTTCTTAACTGTCACCTTTTAAGTGTTATAGAATTCGTTTTATATTGTAGTAAATAAAATTATTTATAAATTTGATTATGATATGAATAATAATTTTCTGAGTAATTTTTTTTTTTTTTTCTCTTTAGCTTTCACCTTTTCTGGTGGTAAGCTCCTTCAACATCTCTCTCCACTTTATGTTATTCGTACAATCTCTTTTATCTATTATATACTTCTTTATATTGGCTCTAACTTTATGGCCACATTGAAGTTTTGGCCTTCCTCTTTTACGTTTGCCCATCACTTCCAATCTTTCAACTTTATTTCCTATGTAGTTCATAGGCCTTCTCATTGTGTGCCCATACCACCTAAGTCTGTTTACCATTAACTTAGTCTTAATGGGCACTACCTTTAAACTATTTAGTATTCTTGTACTGCGCACCTTATCCTTTCTTGTTACCCCAGCAATCATCCTCAGCATTCTCATCTCCATAGTTTGTAGACTTCTCTCGTCTGATTCTTTGGTTGGCCATGTTTCCGAACTATATAGAATAGTTGGTTGTACTATGGAACTGTAAATTTTTCCCTTTAATTTGTGTAAGATTCTTTTGTCAAATAGCACTCCAGATAAAGATCTCCACTTTAACCACCCTTGATTAATCTTATTCTTTATCTCTTTTTCTATTGTGCCGTTTGTTTGTATAGTGGAGCCCAAATATTTGCAGCTTTCAATTGCGGATATCTGCCAATCATTTATATCAATACTCTCCGTTTCATCTCCTCCTATCACCATATACTCCGTCTTTTCTCTATTTACTTTTAATCCGTGCGTTTCTAGGATATTTATCCAATTCACTAACCTTTCTTTCATTTCATCCTTGGATTCGGCAAGTATTACAATATCATCTGCAAATATCATATTCCACGGGACTGTTTGAGGTATAGACTGTGCTAATACATCTATTACTGTAATGAAGAGAATCGGGCTGAGAGCCGACCCTTGATGAACTCCTTCGGCTATTGTGAAGCCTGCTGAAGTACCTGTTGTGCTACGGACCATTGTTGTATGTCCCATATACATATCCTCTATTATTCTTATATATTTTTCGGGAACTTTTTTGTGGCGTAGCGCCCACCAGATAAGTTTTCTTGGGATTCTATCGAAGGCCTTTTCTAGATCGAGAAAGACCATGTGTAGCTTTTTGTTCTTTTTCCTGTATTTTTCACTCATTTGCCTAATTGCATGGATAGCATCGGTTGTTGATCTTCCAGGCATAAAGCCAAACTGTGTCTCTCCTATTTCGATTATATCTCTTAATCTTTTTTCTATTATTTTTTCGTATAGTTTTAGACAGTGTGACATTAGTTTTATGCCCCTGTAATTTTGACAATTGTGTGGATCCCCTTTATTTTTGAAGATAGGAACTAGATAGCTCTGCCTCCATTTTTGGGGGACCTCTTCATTTCCAAGTATTTTATTGTACAGATTTGTGAGGAGATGTATTCCATCATCTCCTAGTGCTTTAAGGCTTTCTATTGGAATATCGTCTTGACCCCTAGCTTTGTTGTTTTTCATATGCTTGAGGCATGTGATTATTTCTTGTTCTGTTATAGTTGTACAAGGTTTTGACAAGGGGAGTGTTCGTCGAGATGCAATATGTGGGAATTAAAGTTGAGAAGCTCCTGAAAATATTCTTTCCATCTATTCATTATTTCTTTTTCCTTTATTATCAATTTCCCATCTTTATTTTTGATTACTTTCGGAGCTCCGTTTATATCCCTAGAGTTCTTTTCTCGCTGTTTGGCTAATCTGTATATTTTATTTTGCCCTTCTTTGGTATGTAGATCTTCGTACATGTCATCGTATGCCATAGATTTGGCCCTAGCCACCGCCTTTGTAGCTAATCTCTTGGATTTTTTGTATCTTGACTTGTCATCTGCATTTTTGGATTTGTACCATATTTTATAAAGGGCTTTTTTCTCCTGTATAGTGGTTTGTACCTCTTGATTCCACCACCATAGTTCTTTGTGTGATTTGTTGCCTCCTCTTGTCAAGCCTAGCGTCGATTTTGCAGTGTCTATTAATCTGGATGAAAGGTCTGTCCATATTTTTTCACTGACTTGTGAGCAATTTATTGTTTCAATGTTTGCATTGATTGCAAAGGCATCTGTCATTGTTTTTAATTTGCCCCATTTGATGCATGGTTCCAGTTTTATCTTATTTTGAGTGGATTTATTTGAGATTTGTAAATCCATGATTAGTAGCTTGTGTTGCGCGGCGATATCTTCTCCTGGGATGACTTTGCAGTCTATTACATCTTTTAATCTTCTGCGAGAGATTAGCATGTAATCTATCTGTGTTTTCCTAGTACCACTTTCATATGTTATTAAATGACTGTCTTTTTTCCTATAGTAGGTGTTGGTTAAGGCAAGGTCGAAGGCTTGCGCAAATTTCAGTACGTGCTCTCCTTCATCATTTCTTTCTCCGTATCCAAAACCACCATGATGCCTTTTGTAGCTATCTCTTGCTTTCCCCACATGCGCATTTAAGTCACCACCAATTATGACTAGGTCATCCTTAGGGATTTCCATTACAGCTTCATCAAGGATAGCTCTAAAGTCATCTTTCTCTTCTTCCTTGCAACCCGTTTGAGGAGCATATACTGATAGGATGTGTAGTATTGATTGACCGCAGAGTTTTATCTTCATTAGTCTATCAGAGATCCTGTTGACTTCTACTACTGAAGAGGTTAGGTCTTGGCTGAGGATGATGCAGACACCGTTCCTATTGCTAACAAGTCCATTATAGTACAATTTATACCCATCTCCAATCATCAAAGTTTTCTGTCCTTTCCATTTAGTCTCTTGTATGCGCGCTATATCAACTTTTCTCTTGTTCAACATTGATGCCAATTCTCTCGTCTTACCTTTAAGCGTCCCAATATTCAAACTTGCCAGTCTTGTCTTCTTTGCTTTGACTTTTACTTTATTTTTCACAGGATGGAGGTCTACACCCTGCGCGTCGCATTGAGGGAACGCCCTAGCTTTCATATTCATATTTTCATTTGTGTCCTTCATTTGTTTATTGGACAGGTATCCTTAGCACCCGGCTGTCCAGGCCTGTCGGTGACCGGGGTGTCATCTCTAAGCTCCGAAATTCATCATACCATATGTCTTTACACATCAGTCATCGAAGAAAAACTTGAAAGTTTTTATGGTTCTTACCAGGATTGAACCCGCGTCCTTGTTCATACTCCTAGTAACATTAAAACTTAAAAAAATCTACGAAAATAAATAATTTACTTTATTATATATCAACAAAACTTTTTTTGCTCTATTTGGGATCTAGGTTAACCATCTTAATAATTTTTCAGTTATAAATACTAAATTTTTGTGGATATTGAGATAATTATTGATTTTTCTAAAAGAAATAAAATTTTATTCTAGAGAAAAAGCCAACAAATATTTCGATTCAATTTTACTCTTATGCCAGTTAGTATAGCTAAAAATGGATTAAAGGGACAGGCCAATCCGCTGCATCTAAGGCGGGATTTAATTTATTTGTGCTTCCTTTAAAGTTAAGCTTATTTTTTTAAAATATTCTAGGCCAAGGTCATAATATTTGCTAAAAATATAAGGTTCCGCCGGCTAAGCATTGGCTAATTACCAAACTATACTGGTTAGCTACTTAAGGAGGGAACGGAAATAAAGTATAGAATTTTTTTAGTATTGGTTATTTGTAAGATCACGAATAATAATTGATTAACACAAAAAAGAGTATGCTAAAGATTAGCGAAATCAATTTTATTTTGGCCTGAGCCTAGAATCATGATATCGAAAAAAAATTAGGTTTCTAAGCCTGATCCGCTGCCAAACTTTAAATGGAACTAGGGAGAGGCTCTCCTTTGATCGTAATTTGTCCAAGTGATGACATCATTATTAATAGGAATTTCAATGCAGATAAATATTCTATCTGTGTATTTATTTAATATATCAGGTTATTCCGAGTAATATTTAAGATATTATCTTAATTTACAACTATTAAATGGACCAAACAGTAAAATGGACGAATTTACTATAATGACTTGATCATCGTTAGGCAAATAGATATTTTATTGATATTTATCTTGTATTCTCTTCATTAAAAAATGCGATATAAATATGAAACAATTATTTTTAAATAATTTATTTTATAATAAATATTTTAATGAGGCAAAAAAAATAACAACTAAATATAATATAATATTTTTTTGGGATGGGGGGGGGGACGCTAGCTTGGTCTATATTTTATTTACAATGTCTCGGGCCGGCCTTGTGGGACCCTAAATAAAAAAAATAGATGCTTGTCAAATAAAGCAAAGGTTTTAAATTATGAATGTAAAAAAATTTAAAGATAGGGGGCCGTAACTATAAAATAGAGGTTATAGAAAGCCAGTAATGTTAATAAGATAGAAGGAAAAATGAGGGAAGCGGTGAAGAAATTGCGGAATTTGAGATGTTGAAGAAAATTCCTAATTAGCAGATTAAAAACGCTTTGAAAAAAGAAAAGCATAAAATGCATTTGTATGATTAATATTGATATCTTTCGGAATAAAGAATAGGATATTCTGTTTTATTTTCTTTAAATCAGAGTTGTACATTTGCTCAAAATAAAAAGATCTTCATAGATCTAGATCCTTGAAGATCGTAAAATTTGAAGATCTTTTATTTTTTAAAAATTTTGTCTAACGATCTTCAAAGATCTTCATGATATTTATTTTTTTACCCCTTTATTAAAAGCCCAGATGTTTTTCAATTTTATTAATATAATATTTCTTTTATGTTTTATACCTCTCCTCCTGCCTTGATGAAAATTGAAAAACATCTGGGCTTTTAATAAAGGGGTAAAAAAATATATGAAGATCTTTGAAGATCGTTACACAAAATTTTTAAAAAATAAAAGATCTTCAAATTTTACGATCTTCAAAGATCTTGCTCAAATTTTTGAGCTAGATCTCGCTCAAAAATCTTAAAAGAAGATCTTTTGTACAACTCTGCTTTAAATCACAATTTTAAAAATAATCCACCGATACCTAAATAAATTGAGAATTTGCTACTCTTAATTTAGTCGTTATTAGGCAGAAATATTCGAAAAAGTTATTTAAATCTATATTTAAATGAAATCTAAAACTAAGAAATCAAATCCATAATCTACATAAGCAACGGGGAGGGTATCAATTACATTTTGGGTTGAAATATGGCTAATATATTAATATAAAAATATATATCATTTAAATTATTTTTTTATTTTTAGCCCCCTTTCTAAATTTTGAGGAAAGGTTAAACCCCTCCCCACTACCGTCAAATAATTTTAATAATTTTTCAATAGTGTATTGATTTTATGCTAATCTTCTCAAAAATTACCGCTTCGGAATTATCCGATAGGAATAGCGTTGTTAACATATAAATTGGACTTTAAATTTTTTCTCGTTTAATATTTCTCAATTAGTTAATTTGCCTTTATAAATATATTTTAACATCATGCCATTTTAGATATTAACAAAATGATGGAATTTTTTTCGCATTTAAAAATATTTGCACTTAAGCAATATACAATTAAGTTTTATATTCATTTTTTTTGATTAGATTTTTTAGCATAGTATAAAGATTATTTTAAGTTTACTTAAGAATCCTGTAGAAAGAGTTTCAAGGCTAGCAATGCTTCCCTTGCTTCTATGGATGCTTATCATTGGATTGTCTACTTAATTTATAAGAATTATATTGCTGCCTTAAATATAGATTTGATGACAACACTATAAATATTAAAATATTTATATAAAAATTGAATATCAAGTCAGATAGGCGCTGGTTATTTTGAAATTGCTCTACTAGTAGAGATTAACACTTAATTTATAGTACCAGGTGTTTTAAAATAATATCATTCGTTCACAAATTATTTTTAAAATAATAATGATTTTAAGATTATGCATATTCCTTATATTATGGTCTTCTTATTTGCTTCTATATTTTACTAGAAAACCTTTGGGCATTGTAATTTCAATTTATATCTATTAATTTAATATTTTTTTAAAGATCAAAGTAAATCTTGAGAAAGATTATGATTATTCAAAATTTCAAATTGGTTTATTGGATTCTGCATTTTTGTTACCATATTCTCTTGGTCAGGTAATATAAATATTTATCTTATAAAAAGTTTCTGCATCTTATCTTAAAACATTTTTATAAAAAGTATCATATAATTTTATAAAAATGTCTGATACTATTTTATATCTCAATGCAATTTTTTTTATTATAAATATTTCGCAGATATTTTTTGTTAACACAATCAAGCAACATAATCCTATGAGATTTTTGCTAGTAACATTAATATTGGCAGGTTTGTCAACTTTAAGCCTGGGTCTAGTTGTTGGCAATTTTGGAGCATTCTTTATTTTACTTGCTTTAAATGGCTCTTTTCAGGTAAAATTAATTTTTATTATATAATTACACATATTTTCACAATATTTATAAAATAAAATATGGGCTAAGGATTGAATTTTGATTAAGGTTATAGTTTATATTTAATGTCACATGTGGATGGTTCATTTTTTACCATCTACAATTATATTAAATATATATTTAACACTTAAAGGTTTTTTGGGGCAGAGCACCACCCCAGAAATTTTAAATTGTTTACAAACAAACTAGATATTTTGGCCTGATTCTTTCAACAACAAATATATGAACATTCTTTGAGTTGATAACACTTCTATTTAAATAATTAAATAGGATTTATAATTATCTTTACTTGCTGGGTATCACAGCTGTTAAATATTAGACCTGCATATGTACCATTTGTATTTCAGAATTTTTTTTAAAAAATAAAATTGTTGGCCTTCCCAAGGTTTTATATTTTCAGACCTAGCCTGGATTCTTTAAAATATATTATATTTATTTTTAATTTTTATAGATAATAATGGTGATTTAAAATATTTGGTTTCACATTAACATGGCCTGGTCTGAGTATTTTTTCAAAAAAAGTGCAAAAATTTTTTTTAGACCGAGTCCATCATGGATATATAGAAAAATTAAAATACGGCCTGGACCATGTAGGGGAGACCAGGGCTAGTCAGTGCAAGGGGCTTGTCGGTTCAAAGGATTTTATTTTAAAACCAGTAAAGATTAAAAATTGAAATTTAGTTCTAAAATAGAATTCTATAATATCCATAATTGGGGATGAAAATAATCTATAATATTTAGCTATTTAAATTTTTATCCGTTATGACATGTTTTTGACATAAAAATTACAATATTTTCACTTAATATTATTAGTTTGTATTAAAAAATTAAAAGTTCAAATTAAACATGACAAAATGAACATTATATGAAAGTTAAATATCTATTTTAATATTTGGGAAAGTTCCAGATTAATATATAATGCTTAAATATATGTTAAGATCAAATTAGTAATATTACCACCATTGAGGTTAGTAGAATCGTGGCTAGTCAGCACAATCAGTCAATATTTATTATATTATTATGGTACCCAAGTATATATGCTAAATTCAAAATAGTAAAATTTTTACTATAAAAAGATTATGAAGAAACTATAAAACTGTATGAAAATGATATCTCATTAAGAAAAATACCATTTATTACAGGTTAAAATATAATATTTTATAAATGTAATATAATAAATAATAATTAATATAAATTTACTAATGTGATTGATTTTTCATAATACATTTCAATTTTAATATAATATCAGATCTAAATAAATATCTTGCAAACATATTGTGATAATATATTATATATTGTCACAGATAATATAATATTTTATAAATGTAATATATTAAATAATAATTATTATATAAATTTAGTGATTGATTTTTCATAATACATTTCAATTTTAATATAATATCAGACCTAAATAAATATCTTGCAAACTAAAATCTTCATATACTTATTGTGATAATATATTATTTATTGTCACAGATATTATATATATTGCATATATAAATTTTAGCCTGATAATAAGATCAATTATTTAAATTTATATCTAGCAAACAAATATAATATATATATTTTTTTTAATTGAACAATATTATATGATTCAAATTAATACATTTAATAGATATGAACATTTTAGCATATAAATTTTACCCTGATAAAAATATCAATATATTTAAAATGAATTATATCTAACAAACAAATATTTATATATATATCTATTTTAATTGACAATATAATATGATTCAAATTAATTCATTTTATTGGATATGAACATTTTAATTATCAGATTATATTTAGCCTGATAAAAAAATCGAATGATGTTATATATTTAAATATAGAATTAGATAAATTTTGAGTAAATTTATTATTAATAAAAAATAAACATTAATAAAAAATTAATAAAAGATGTGTGTATTATATGTAAGCTGGATTATAAAAGTTTTCATAATTTTGAAGATTTTCAATGTAGAGTGGTTCTCTGTCAAAAAAGATTGTTATTTTATTTGTTATAGTTGTAAATAGAATATTATATAAATAAAGTATCATAGTTATATATTAAAATCTGAAAAAAAAATTTCTTGTCCCATAAGAAGCCTAATAAACCACTTGATTCGACTAGCCCCATCGATGATCCGACTGACCACGGGTTCGGGGCTATTAGGTTCAAAAAATGACTTTTACTAAAACCTTTCTATAGAAATAATTATTAAATATTTAAAAAATATAACTATATATTTATAGGTAGATGTTTAAGGTATCTATTAGTATTTTGTAAGATTTTATATGATCATTATTTTCGGAGCTATGATGAATTTGACAAAAATTGCGCCGATTAGCCCTGGTCTCCCCTATCCATAGTGGGCTTAAAGTCGTGCTTATATATCTGAAAAATATTAACTATAAAATGCATAACCAAAGTAAACAGAAAATTATCATATAATCTGAATTTTTCTATATATCTTATTTTGAAAATACCCCCAAAAACATGTTTTTCATAAAAATTATTATGTTGATTGATTGCCAGAAAATTGACTTTCAGAAAAATCGGCTCTCAGAATATTGGCTCAACGAAAATCCCCCCCTCACCATCCCCAGATCTGAAACAAATTATTCGATTCATATTTTACAAATACGAATAACCAAATGAGTTCGAATCGAATATAAAATAGGAAAATTATTTTCTGTAAAATAATTTTTTATCGATTATTTGATTAAATTATTCCTATAATTTGAAATTTTTTGTAGTATTCAAAATTTACCATAAATATTTGGCATTTTTTGTAAATATTTGACATTATTCGTAAATATTAAAACCTATTCATAGATATTTTTAATTATTTGCAAATATTTAACATGTTCCTTACAGAACATCTTATTTTTTTTTAAACTTTATTTCCACAACTATAAATAACTTTTTAATTTTAAAACCTAAATTTTATTAGTGTGTAGAAAAATTTATGATCAAATTTCACCTAAACTTCCATTGATGTATAAAAAAAAATCTGTTATAATTTTCATGCTTAATAAATTCACAATTTTCTTTTACAAAAAATATTCAAGAATTCATTCTAAAAAAAAATTTGAAGATTTTTTTTTCATACTTTTGAAATTTTATTTTTGAAAAATATTTTTAATGAATTTAATTTCGAATCAAATATTCCGACGAATCAAATCGAATAATGTTTTATTATTCAAATGTATACAAATAAATAAGGATGGATCGAATACAAAAAAATAAAAATATTCTATTCGCATTTTTATAGTTATCTAACTATTTTAAGAATATATTTTTTTTATAATTGTATTATTTGGCGTAGAATAAGAATAATAATAAAAACCACCGAGATAATAAAATACATTTTATTTTTTTTGCAAATTATAATACAACTTGCATTTATTCATATAGACTCTCTTTTCTAATAAATTATAGTATTAAGTCACTATTTTTTCTAAAAATGTCCTATATCTCAAAAAAAAAGAAAAAGATAAATATTTTAATATTAAAAGTAAAACCAGAGGTCTAAATTTTAAGCCGGGCTCTCATTTAAAAAAGGGTTTATCGCTTCTTTTATTTTTATATTGATCATGGAATCAATACAATTTTTGCGTCCACTAGATTAGTACCTACTGACTCTAGATACTTATTTAGTAGTGGAGCTATTGTTATTAATAACTCATAATGGATAACATAATTTATATTAACGCATTGAGATAAAAGACCAGAGGCTTCGACTGAATCATGAGTGGAAACATCTAAGTTAAGAGTTCTAGAAAAGTAAAATAATACTCTCATAAATTTAGTGAGATGTTTCTAAATGACTAGTCCACCTCTGGTCTAAAAGCCTCTTAAGAGTATGACCTGTATATTTACAGAATACGTTAAAATGTCTAAAAAAATTTACAATGCAATTTTTAAAAAAATTAGAAGTTATAATATTATAACAATTTTGAACCACAAGATGCAACTTATGGTTGTAACAATATATAAAAGGAACTTTCTTATTAATTTTTTTTTTGAAATAGGATTTTCACTCCTCCATTTTGATCAGACATGACGTTTGCATCATAATATGCCTGGCTTATTCTATTCGTTGAATTAATATTTAACTCATTAAGTTGCTTTAAAATGCAATCAGTAATGCTTTCAGTAGAAAGACACTGTAAATTAATAATTCCTATTAAATTTTCTTGGATTTCCTCAGGAAAAATATAACGAATGTTATGCTTAGGTTTTCACAATCTGATGCATCTTTTGCCTCGTCAGCTTTAAGACAAAAAAAGGCACTCACTTTTGTCATATTTATTTAAGATATTTCAAGCACTATATCTGCCATAATAGATATTACTTCGTTTTGAATCTGGGGTGATGTATATTGGTTTTTGGGTATTAATTTGGATATTTTTGGATGATGTATGAAAACATTGCCATAAATAATCCAGAAGAATAAATTATGTTTTCATCTTTTGCAGCATCCGTAATTTTTTTGAACCAGTCCCAAGGTTGCTTATGCTAATAAATAGCATCAAATCAAATATTGATTTCTAATAGATTACAGTTAATTTGTTGGCTTACCAAAATTGTTATCTATGTATCCTTAATATTAAGATTTTTATCATGCCAAATTCTTATTGAATTTAAATGAATTTTTTTTGAGGGGGGGGGGTGATAGCCCGCTCTCCTCCCCCGTATCTACGGCTTTGAGTGTGGCTATAATAAAATAATCGGATAGGATGCATTTTTATAAAATATTTTTAAATATGATTTAAAATTTATTATATTTATTTGAAAAAAGGCGTTCTTTTGGCCATTAGCCATTCAGTTGATATCCAATATTTTCACGCATTCCTCTCATCTCAATTTGATCCTTGGAATTTATGGTACATGCGCATTTTCTGGTGGAACTATAGGCACCTTATTCGCGGTATACTTTATGTGACGTCAAAAAATTTTTGAATTTTAAGTTTCATTTTTGATTTCATCTTGAAAAGATATTTTTTATGCACGAAAATTGCTGAAAATTTACTCGTAAAAGATTTTACCTTTTTTAGGTAAAACTCTAATCTTTAAAAAATAAAACCTTATCTTTTTTATTAGCTTAGAAAATAAATTTTTACTAAATTTTATATTATATTTAGAGTGTTTAGATAAGAACTGTTTTATAAAACAAAATTATACTAAAATTCCTGTCTTTTTTAAAAAATAAACAAATATGTTAGCGGTTATGTGTTATTTTTTCATTTTTTGAGCGCGTTTTTTTAACATTTAAACATCTGATTTTACCGGAAATATATTTCAGTATACTTAGAATACCTGTCATATGAATTCTAGACAATTTTGGCTTTATTATTGAGTCATTTATAATTTATATGAAAATATCTATGTGTAAATGAATCAAAAGTTCATGGCAAAATTGTCTAGAATTCAAAGGGCAGGTATTCTAAACATCATGCAATACATTTCTGGTAAAATTAGATCAAATTCAAAAAATGATGCTTAAAAGAATGATATATAGTTGAAAAATAACACATTTCCGGAAAAAAACACATTGCCGCTAACATATATGTTTTTATATAAAAATAAATATAATTATAATATATTAGGTAAAAATTTATATTAAAATATATAAATGCAAAAATTTTACCATATACTCAAGCCCGGCTCGGCTCGATATTTTTTTAAAAAAGTTTTGCCCGGCCCGAACCCGAAATTTTTTTCCGAACCCGAAATTATTTTTGAAAAAATTTACCGGCCCGGCCCGAATTTATTATAAATATAGAAATTAATTTTTATAAATAAATCAAAATAAATGATACAAGTTATATGGCGTCTAGTTCCTATATAAAATCAAATATAATATTTTTATTTTACACAAAAAATTCAACATAAAATTGATAAATTTAGATATATTTTAAAAAAATTCTAAGACCCGGCCCGACTCGAATTTTCATAAAAAATATTAGGCCCGACCCAGCCCGAGCCCGATTTTTTTAAAAAAATAGGCCCGAAGCACGTTCAGGCGGGGTATGGGCCGGGCCTACTTTTGCAGATCTCTAATTTATAGTTTATGCTGGGCATATATCGAAATAATAAATGATAGAATAAATTAAATATTTTTAATTAGATTTATAAAAATTTAATTGCTGGATTTTATTAGTTTGTGTTTGGAAAATTTGATGGACATTTCCATATTTTTTTAATTTATTTTCAAATAAAATTGTTATAAAAATTTTTTAATTAAATAATTACGAATTGTTATTAATGTGGATCTCAATTATTTATATGCTTTATTTTATATTTAGGTGTATATAAGAGACAAATATGATTGGCGCTTGATCTATCCAATAACGTCACTGATTATGGTAAAAAACGAATTCTTTATATTATTCATTTTAGATTTAATTAATCAATTGATATGTGAAACCATTATCAATGACATTTGACAATATTAAATTCATTCAAAAATATATGGGGAGGGGGGGGGGGTTAATAAAGTCTTTTATATAATTGGGAAATATTTTGTCTTGTCGATTCGATTAGTCATTAATTATAAATTATAGAACCTACAAAGATCAGAATAATCTTAAGAATTTTTTGGGAATTTTGGCCTAGCCGCGGATTTTTAAATTTTGATCATTTTCCTGGGCCCGGCCCAGAAATATTTTTAAAATTTTGTTATTTTCGAATATTTTTGCAAAATTGTTTCAATTAGTAAAATTGAAAATACGAGCAGATAAATGAAATATTAAACATTCCTTTATTATTTTTTTTAACTGATTTAATTTATTATAAATTGTTTTTTTCAGCCCCTTTCGAGCCTTATGTCTCACTTTATTTGATGAATAATTTTATTTAATTCCTTATATCTAGAACCAAATCTCTAGAAGGAAAGGCTGAGAAAGGCTTTTCAACTAACTAAATTTTTAAAAATACTAGAATTTATTAAAAAATGTGTATTATTTAAGGAAATTTTTTTTTTGCTATTTCATATTTTCTTTTATTGGTATAATTGCTTATATAGAGTATTATAAACAAACCCCTTCCCATCCGTCATTTAATTTTTAAAAAATGTAACTTTCAAGATTCGCTTAATTAATAGTATTTAAAAAAAATAAATATCGTCGGGTAATCAGGAGTTAGTCAAGATTTAGCTGTGCTATATAACCTATATGTCTTCGGTTGACTATTATAGTGTTCTATATCCACTTCTTTTTGTTTTAATGAATTATATGTATTATTGCATCGTAATTTCCTATTTTAAAATACAAGAATCCTTTTTCTTGAATGCTCTCTTGAACAATTTTTTTTAATGGATATAGAACATTATAATGCTTAGTCTATGATATATCAGATGTTTATTAGTAGTGAAGGTCACGAACTGTATGTTTATCAATAACTATACAGTGTCGACCTTTTATTAGTTCTAATTTATTTTATATATGTCAATCTTCGGTGCATAATTTTGATTATCTTTTAAAGGCATTATATCAGAGACCTACCAGAGATACCATTTACGCGGCCTGACCCAGATATATAAAAAAATTTCGGCCCTGGCCGGCCAGGGTTTTATTTTCAGGCTCGGCCCGGATTATTTTAAAAAAAATATACGGCCTGACCCGTGTACCCGGGCCGGGTCTGCCGGTCTCTGATATTTTTTATATTGTAATGTTTGTTATTATCATTTACAAATTATTTATCTTAAACATAAAACACGTATAACAAGATTTGTTGCGCCATCGTTTTTATGATAATTTACGAATACCTCAAGACACGCCTCATTTCTCACAACATATTTCAAGGGTCGGACGCAGGAAATATTAAAACCACCAACGGCGGTTTCTTTAAAAAAAACATAGTATAATAACAACGAAGCCTTTCTAAAGTGACCACCCATTATATTACAGTTTGTGAAAGTCAACGATCCAGTTTGGACTGGGGCCAAGGATCGATATTTCTATATATTGGACCGGACTAAAACCCGATTGCAAAAAAATTAAACGCTTGAAGACAGTTTATAGAAAAATAGGATTTCTCCGATTTCCGGCGCTCACATTCGCTAGTTTTTAAAAACTATGTTAAGTTTAAGATTAGAGTCGAGCCGGAAGGCATAACTTTATGTTAAAATATAGGCCCGGGATATAGTTGGAAAAATATTCCCTTTATTTTTTGTGCCTGATTGAATATTACAATTTTAAAATGAGGAAATATTTACTATTAATTTTCATATCATATTTTTGTAATAGATAAAAATAAAATAGATAAATATCTTCTTCTTCATCGTTTATTAAAGGGTTTCCAGTTTTCCCCGGGGTATTTTACGATCCTGAGCCTCTTGTAAGACTCATTCATGTCGCTCGTTATCACTTTCATCCATATCTTCGTCGGTCGTCCTCGAGTTCCACGAAGTCTCTTAACCCAATCATCTTGCGTCTTTCTATCAACGTGCCCACCACCTCAGACTATTTCTCCTGATCACCACTCCAATCGCTTCTATAAAATTCTTCCAGGAATTCGTTGCTTGTTTTTCTCTCTCACAGGTGCCTCATGTATCCATCTGACCATTTTCATCTCCGTTCTTCCCAATTTAGCTTCATTATCCACATTTCGCCACCGTAAACTATACAGCTTCTCACACAGCTTACATAAAATTTTTCTTCTCACCTTCAGAGATACGTTCTTATCTATTAGAATAGACGATATATCTCGAACTAACAGTGGAATCAACACCTCCTTCGTTCAGCATGTTACCCAAATAACAATACTTTCCCACTTTTTCCAGAAGAGCTCCATTATCTATATTTAAACCACCTTTTTTTACGTTATCATTATCATGAACCACTTTCGCTCATGTTCTGATAAAAGTCACGTTTGCTTTCATCAAACTTCCGTTCTCACCATCACCACTACATTTTTTATGTACCCATTTCTTACAGCCGGTACATTGGATTGCCTAGCAACGCCTTTTCCACACACCACTTGTATCCCGTTTTTTCCTTTTTTCCTGATTCTTAGTCTTCAAGCATCATCTTAGTCCTTCCTTCATTCCACTTTTAAACTTTAAAATTATCAAAGTTATTGCTTGAATGTTTTAATTTAAATGAAGAACATTAAATTATAGAATATGATTTTTCCCCTATAAGTTTTTTTAATAAAATTCTGGCCGTAATGCGCTAGCCTGGCCTAAATTTTAAAAATAATTGCCACGGGCTGACTAGGGCCAAGAATTTTTGATCTTATAGGTCTATATTAATAATCAGACTTAGGGCCAGTTTTTTTTAAACATACAATTGACCTTCACTAATATTAAGGCTATGATCATTTAGAGAATAATTTAAATATTTGGGTTCAGAGATGGTTATGTGAAATCATGGTCACTTTATCATCCACAAGGTTTTATTGTATCGAATTTTATTTTTTTTTAGCGGTTTTTAAAAAAAAAAATTTATATTTATTATATTCCGACTTTTCTTATATTATTTAGTTCCCAAAGCCATCAATGCTCTTCGTAATATTTACCAGAACCCTATGATGAGCATATCCAACATTTATCAGGCGCTAATCAACAAGATACACGAAGCTCTGGCGATATTTAAAACTGTTCCGTAAAATATAAATCTTTCATTAAATTATGAGGGAATTGTATATATATTTTTTTAAATAGCAAAATGAAATGAAACTTCTGTTACAATATCAATAATGTATATATATATTTCTAGATTAGCGATTCATTAAATCGGCCAACCCCAGATATTTTAAAAATTCTTAGGTCTCTAAGTTATTTTTTTTTCCAAATAAAACTTTACGACTTGGCCCGTATATCCGGACAGGACTTTGCCCCGGGCCCTAGAGATTTCTGAAATAATATTGTAAATTAAAGAAGCGCGTTTCGAAGAGTTATATTTTAAAAAAATCCTATAAATTTAGAGAGGCAGTAATAATTATTAGGCCTAGCTAAAAGGAGGGATGAATGGACCCCCCCCCTCTTCTATCTGAATATTCTTGTTCTCGTAAAAATATTATTTTTAATTAATATAAATTAACCTTCTTACACTTCCCTCTCCACCAAAAAAATGTATACAATACACCAAGCAAGAATTTTAAAGTAAAACAAGTTAGAGAAGTTTGATAATTTTTTTTAAATAATGCCTATAATTGCAAATTATTAGAAAGAAAAGTGAAAACCCAAAATTATTTTTATAAAAATATAACATATCCAAACATGTAGAATAAATGGGCTTAAAGTCCAATAAAAATTATGACGGAAACCCCCATTTTAAAAAAAATGGGTTTTTATGTAATGAACTCTGAGTTTGTCGAAGGCTCTAAAAAGAGCTTAATTTAATAATGATGTTCCTAAAAGCCTTCCCCCCTCCCCTTAGCAAAATTTTGGCTACGCCTATGGTATTGATTATTTATTGTTTTATATATTTTTTTTTATTAGAATGGTATTCGATGTATCTTTATTTATGTTATGTCTCAAAACTATACGATATATCCTTTACATGTGGCTTCCTTTGCTATTGGAGCAAAAGGTTTTGTTTATAATACTAAATAGCGAATATTAGTTGTGTTTATATTGTAATTATAATAATTTTTTGATAAATTTAAGTTGGTAAACACTAATTAATACTAATCATGATTTTTAATATTTTATCGAATATTAGAGTCAATATAATAGTACCAAAGCAGGTAACATATCCGCCATCTTTGAAATTGGGGGCTTGTTGGGATCTATCATATTAGGTTACCTTTTGGATAGGTAAGGATTTAAACCATTAAATTGGAATAGATTTCATTTAGTAATTTTTATATTTAAAAATTATTTTTAATGTTGAATAATTTTATTTTACAATTTAAAAAAAAAATAAGATACAATATATATTTTAAAAGAACAAATAAGAATGTATTAAAAATTATAAAACAAAAAATATGATTTGTTGATTATATAAATTTATTAAATAGAAGATCAAATCGTAAATTATATAAAAAATAATTAACAGAATAACCAAAATTTATAAACAAAAAATAACAATTTGATAAATGAGTTGCTGGTTTACAAGAGAAAATTCATATAATTTAAAATTAATTATTTCTTTAATTTTTATTTTATTTTAAATTAAATAGGGGGGAAAAATGTGTATATATAACCATACACAGAGTTGTTAAGGAGCCGCTACATTTTTTCAAAAACACCTGGAGCGCCCCTCCTTTTTAAAATTGAGGAGCGGAAGCGAGATCTATCTCTTTTTAGGGCTGGAGTGGAGGAGCGCCGCTCCCTCTCCTTTAAATTTATTTTTTAAATATTAATAATATTTAATTAAAATTTATCCATTATTAAATGTTTAGCCGAGTTTTATATTGGTTTTTCATCTAATCATTTTAAATATTAAACATCAAGTTTTCCTTTTTATATTGAAATTTTTTTGGAAAATCTTGTAAGTCATATTAATGTTCGTTTTATAGATATATAATAAAAAATAGTTTTAGATAATATATGGATTTAGATATCATAGATGAAGAAATCGAATTTCCATTTCCATCATACATAAAATATTTTAAACTTCTAAAAGATGCTGATCCAAATGATCAAACAAATTACGGGCAAAATGTCTTGTGTTTAAATAAAACTATTTAATTTTCAAAAGTGAGAACTTCAATCTAAAAAAGCATCTAAAAGTAAAAAATCTTTCTTTTAAATACAAATTAATTTGGAAGATTTTTTTGGATTCCATGAAATTGATCATCAGGAAGATAATATATTGGACAAATATTTTTTAAATAATGATACCAAAATTACTATTTTTGATAAATTCCCTGAATTAAAAACTATCTTTATAAAATACAATACCCTGTTTTCCTCTAGTGCTTTTGGAGTGCCTATTTAGTATTGCAAAACAGATCTTAGGGGAGAGGCGTGAATGTTTGATAGATTCTAATTTATTACTTTTAAAAGCTAATAAAAGGTTATAAATATTTTGATAGATAATTTAATATAAATAAAGCTTTTTGATAAAAAAAAATAAGATTTTATTTCTTATACCCTCTAAAAAAATGAAAATCAAAGGAGCGGTTATGGAGTGGCACTCCATTACTTGGAGCGGGAGCTAGCTCCTTTTAAAGATGTAGTAGCGGGAGCTAACTCCTTTTGAGAAGGTAGGAGCGGGAGCTAGCTACTTTTAAAAAGGAGCGTTAACAACTCTCCCCATACATAATTTAAATATGAAATAATATTCGTTTGGGCTCATTTTATACCTCTGCCATAATTTTCAAACTATAATCTCTTTTTATTTATTTTTAATAATCAAAAGTAAGAAAGAAAAATTTTTCTTAGATTCTACTACTTATTCAATTATATGCTTTTCGAATTTACAATTAATCATGAAATTTTAGATATCACATTATGCAATAAAGTACCTACTAATTTTTTATATTTAGATATTTCAAAAGGTGTCAAATGAAAGGCGTTTATTATTTTTTGGTATGCAATTTGATATGCATCTTCGTTTTTTTGTATTGTACCAGCGATCCTGGAATAAATTGGATAACGACCGCTTCCATTTTGCTCTTTTTAGGTAATTACTTCTATTATTTTAATTAAATTTATTAATCTCTACAGAAATATGCATTATTTTTGCACATTTTTATATAAATTCGACTGTTCACATGTCACTTGTAAATAAATTATCGTTTATAAAGCTACCATTTTAAATATATATTTTACATTAAGGTCTGTTCCTAGGTGGACTGGACAATATGATGGGCAGTTGCGTTCCTTTATTCATCATAAATGATTATCACAGCCACCACCCGGCTAAAAAATTATCTAACGAAGGTAAAGATCTTTCGGAAATAGTTAAAAAATTATCTAACGAAGGTAAAGATCTTTCGGAAATAGTTGATGAAAGTGAAGTAGTGGTGGACAAGTCTACGGTCATAGGATTAGTTAACGGTGTCGGCTCTTTGGGAACATTTATTGAGGGGCCTTTCATAGGATTCTTATTAGTTTCAAATGGCATGTCCTCTTCAGCTTTTACCCGAAAAGTTTGTTCTTAAAAATATTTTTTAAATTAATTTAGAGTTTAACGAAGTGAAATCTATTTTCCCCTTATTCTGAAATATTTCCACAACTTGTCCAAATGTAGATAAAAAATAAATGAGCTCTCTCAAATGAAGCAGATCCCTTTTTATTTAAAACCTTGCAATTTCCATTCGGTCTTAACTTTGTCAGAGCCCATCAATAATATAGCGAAGAAAAAAATAACTAAATTGCCAATAACCTTTTTCATTGATTTCGTTTTCTTCTACTCAAGATAATCTCGATTCAATTTTTCAAAACAAAAAATTTATAATTGACCGTTTTTTAAAAAAAATTTATAATATTCCTACCTTGATATTTAAAAAATATCATTTATCAATTCATTTACTATGTTAAAAAACCTTATTGAATATAATTTTATATTCAGGATCTCTCATCAGCAAATATGGACATAGATAACTGGTTCAGATTTTACGTGTTGATATTTTTGCTGGCTCTTATACCAGTCATTAGATCTCTAGTATCGCCAACTTGCCGGAAACGTATATTTGCTAAGCCATCCCTACAATCATTAGACTCTAAAGGTGTGGAAAATTTGCTCATCCTTAATGAATGAGGGACAAAATTAATAATTAATCGCTCATATTTTAAACAATTTGTTTTAAGGTATAAGATACTCATACTCGAATCAATTAAACAAACCAAAATTAATCTTACAGGGAATTAAATTTAGATCAAATTGCATATTTTATATTTTGTACGTAATGATTGTAGAAAAATTAATTTGGCGAATAATTTATTTGAATTAAGTTCAACAATATGGAATAAATTTTATTATTTGAATCAATCGTATAAATATTTATATTTAAAATCATAAAAAAAAATGTAAATATACATAATATAACTTGAACAATTTTTTAAAAAATATTAAGTAAAATGTACAAATTATTCCTTAAAAAGGATAATATTCCAATAAAAGGCCCCACCCCGATTAGAGTTGTTTTAAATAAATGTGTCTAAAAATATAATATATATTATAATAATTTTTAGTAAAAGCATAAGACTTTATAATATAAATACATTTTTTTTTAAAATATTAGATTAATATATTAACATTTTTTTCCTGTGAGTATAAATCATAAATATAATTGGCATAAAAATTTTGTAGATTTAAGTTTGGTCAAAAAATTGAATTCCAACGCTTTATTCAACGGTTACAGACTTGGCTAAATTCCTTGGACAATCAACCTATAAATATATTTATTTGATATTTTAATAAAATTAAAATATAAGTGCCGTCGTATTTTTTAAAAAAATATTTAAATTTCAAAAGGTCTATTTTAATTTTTAACTTACATTGCAGCCTTTTAAAACAGCAATGTGGTAGGAGAGAAGTTGGAGAGGAATTACGGCTAGAATGCTTTGTAAACAATCCACCGTGTGGGGAATTTCAATGTATTTAGAAGACATCTTTTTCGTTTCCTCGTCACCTTCTTCCAATATTATCACGGGTTTACCCTAATTTTTTTAAATTAAGTTTTATAAGTAATTTTTAATAACATCTGAATGTTGTATATAAGTAATTTTTAATAACATCTGAATGTTGTATATAAGTAATTTTTAATAACATCTGAATGTTGTATATAAATAATTTTTAGCCCTAAAGCCCAAACGATATTTCAATTTAATAACATTTGAATTTTGTAAAAATATAAATCATTTCAAATTTTTCGTCCTAAAAGGCCAAGCGATACATTTCAGTCAGACTTGAAGGCCCAGTTCGGAATCAGCTCCATAAAATAGTGTATTAAAAATTACGAATCTAGGCCAAAAATTGTCATTCATCGACAATGTCTGTTAAATATATTTTTTTCTAATGATTTAGTCTGTTAAATATTTTTTTTTTCTAATAATTTCAATTTATATTTGAAAACATTTCAGAATTACCTTTAAAAATACGGAGAAAAAAATTACATAAATAAGTTCAATTGAACCCGATGAAGAAAAACTTTGCTTATTTAAATTTATTAAGCTATAATTTGTCCATGCATATTGCCGGGTTAAAAATAAAAGATTTGTATAAATCCCGGGCTAAGCTGATTAGTTTTTCAATTTGGAAACAAAAAATAAAGAAATTTAAAATATTAGAGGTGGGCCTGATAATAGATATCATTTTTAAAAAAAATCTGATCTAGGCTTTAAAATAACATGTGCTAGAAAATTCCTGGTCAACATAAAATTTTTACCTTTGTAGGTCTTTCATTTTAATCTTGTTAAAATTAAAATGCTATGAACATTTTTTTAAATAAAAAATTATATACCTCGCGAGAAATAACTTGTTGTAGGGCGTTCATGCATTTCGAATATACGGCATCTCGCGTGCAAATCATTATAATAGGCATTGTGCCATCTATCAAAGCTAGCGGCCCGTGTTTTAGTTCCCCGGCTAAAATGCCTTCCGAGTGCATATAAGTCAATTCTTTTATTTTCAAGGCGCCTTCTAGGCAAGTTGCAAAATTATAACCCCGACCCATAACGAGCAGGCTTTTATTAAGGTACATCTGTTTAGCTAGTTCGTATATAGATTTATCGAGGGCTAGGACGGTTTTAATTTTTTCTGGTGGATTTGTTATTTTATTTACATTATTAAATATATTTGTTTTTTAAAAATCATACCTGGCAGTTTTATCAATTCTTCGATAATTTGCATCCTTCTAGGTTGCATTGACATCTTGTCTTCGCACATGACCAACCCAAACATAACTAAAGATATGATCTGACTTGTGTAAGCCTGAAAAACATAATATTTAAAAAAAATGAATCATTTGTTAATTTAAAAATACAATTAACCAATTTTATTGAAAAAAATATAAGTCGCTCTCCTACACCTCTCCATTTATTTTATTGATTGGTTAACATCATTCCCCAGACCTTTATTTTATTGATTGGCTAATATTAATATCTAGATGGTTGAAAGGTCAAAATTTCTTAATTTTTTTTCTTAAAAAGATAATTCTTTTTATAAATCTGCTTCAAATATTAAATTCCCGATATAAAAGTCAAAATAATATCGTAACTAAAAAAATAAGTTAGTACTTTAGTGCTGGCCACCCCAATTTCCGGTCCAGCGTTGATATGAACTCCACAATGGCTCTCCCTGCATATACTGCTCCCGACAACGTTAGTCACACCCACTACCAATGCCCCGCGTCTTTTGCAGTATCGCAAGGCTAGAAGGGTATCGGCAGTTTCCCCGGATTGGGATATGAAAAAGCATACATCATCGCGAAAGACGGGCGTAGCTCGGTCAAGAAAATCGCTCGCCAATTCGGTTACCACGGGAAGTTCAGTCGTTTCTTCGAGCAAGGCACGAGACTATTACATATATTTAAATTATAGCAAAGGGCGTAAAAAATAATAGTCAAAAATATATATTCAGTTAGTTGCATAGTGTATAAGATGAAAAGTGGTATCCGATAACGTTTTATTTTGGGTGAATATATTTATTCACTCTTGGTAATTTTTTATATGGCAGTAAATTTTTTATTTTGAAAAAAAAAACGGTTTCAATTTAAAAAATTAAATAATACGAACATTATCAAAAAATATATTTTAAAAAAGGAACAAATACGAATATTTTGGCAGTCTCTTCAATTATTTATTATTTTTATATATCCCGTCAATTAAGTTATATATATTTTCGATCGGAACTTTTATATAATTTTTTTTTTATGAATAAAAATTTTATAACAGAATAAAGATTACTAATTTAAAAAAAACATACTCTCAAACTCAATCCCAAATATTTAGAATACTATCGATCGTAATATTATGAAAGAAAATAATATATTTAGAGAAATAAGCCACTTTAAATAAATACAGTAAATTGAAACTGAGAAATATATTTTATATAGAAAAACATTAAAAAGAACTAAAAAATATTTTAAAGGGTACTTATTAATTACCCTAGATAAGAGTGAATGCTGCTTAAAAAATTTGACCTGCTGCCGAAGGCAAAATCCTTCGTTGGGCCCTGTGGTCTATCTCAATCTTTTCCTATGGTTTTAATTAAAGTGAGGGTCTCACTTCCGAACATGCCTAAGGTATTAGTATGAACACTCTGCAAGCATATTTGTTTTTTAAGGACTTCTGCCTTTCCGATGGCAGTTGGTAACTGCAAAATCGACAAGTATAGTCCTAGGGGTAGACCGGAGAATGAGAGATATATTATCAGGGCGTATGCCGTTTCCATTTGAAAGGCCCATTGGTTCGAGGGGCATGGGATATTAACTTTTTGAGGGCAGCTAGAAGAATGTTGAAGGATTAATGGCGTAGTTGTCCGCGAGAGAATTTGTAGTGCAAGAGATGGTATCCATTCGATTTGATGGGATTACCACAATCGATGAATGGAGTACTGCATTACAGCCAAGGCGAAGGGCTATATTTTGTAACTGTTTTCCAGTCACGAGAGGCCAAGATTGGAAGGAATGGGTTCCAACCATTCATAGCCTTTTTCATTTAATATTATTTTATTGGAATTTTCCTCAAAGGGCATATTTGAAATGAAGTATTCAATGGAACGGGCGATCAAATAGCATGCCAGTCTTTTTAAATGCTAGAGGCAAGCCTGGGATAGGTCAGGATCTATAGGGGTGGATATTGATGATAATTTGAGCAACTAGACGGATGAAATAAAGGCTGAAAGAAAGTTATAGCGGGTATCCGATACTAATACCACCTGACTTGCTGGAGGGTGGCCTGAAGCCAGGATGAGTTGGGATATTTTAGAGGAAACCCTAGATTTGAATTTTATGAGAAACTAGCAAATACCTGCATTTGTAGATCGGTGCGAATTTCAGGGCGTAGAGGATGAGCATTAAAATAGTAATTTAAAAAAAGGATTGATGTGCAGGGAGGTAATCAAATAATATGTTTATTTAGACAAATGGATTTGTTTAAAAAGGTTTCGATGGCTTTTTCTCCCCCCTATCCTTGATTCAAGATGTGTCATCTCATCTTTGTTAATGACATAGTAGGTGGTGCCTAAAGAAATGGATGTAGGATTTAGGAAACATATCTCACACTTAAGGAGTGATAGCCCTGTAATATGTGAGAGATCCTCGATTATGGGGGGATATGCAGGGTTGTGGAAAGGTTGCTCGCAACCATGCCATTATCAAGATACCAGGGTGGATACCAATGCAAAAGAGAGTAGGGCCAAGGGAGTCTCCCTGTTGAATTCCCTCTTGAGACTTGATTATATTATTGTATTTTAAAAATGTTGGGCTTGAATAGCTGTGATGAATGTATGATGTGTAATCCAGAATATCTGTTATAGAACAAAGTGTTGTTGTTATTGAAAGCATGAAATTAAGTTTTAAAATTGCATCATCAGGAATACTATTTGCAATAGTTATATACGAGTAAGATGAGCAGAAAATTTTGCGCCTCCAGGAACGCCAAACTCTAATTTGAGTAGAGGCAGAAATGAGAAATGAGGAAAGAGATTCCTTGATTCGTGAAGCAATGATTTTAGAAACAGCTCTTCTGAAGAAAAACCTTAGCGAGATTGGGCCAATCCCCCCCCCCCCCGTCCTTATTTTTAAGAACCATTAGACGGGCACCAAGATGAATAGGGAGATGGGTGTTGGAGGAGGCCATTTATGGCGATTGAATAACTCGCTTCATTCCGCAAGTATGTAGGGCAAATATAGTTATTAATAAATATGTAATTTAAATTTAAGGGTAAATTTTTCTCAATTGTCCCTTTATAGAAATTTTTTTGCAAAATTACATAAGGTTAAAAAAATAAATAAAATTACCGCTAAAGCACTGTGATAACTCGTACCACAGGCGATAAATAGCAGGCGTCTGCAGCGTTTTATTTCGGTAAGGTAGTCTTTGATGCCTCCCAGAACTATAGCGCATGGGTTGTCGGCATGATTGACACGACCTCGCATGGTGTTAACGACCGATTCGGGCTGTTCGAATATTTCCTTTTGCATAAAGCTCTCATAGTTGCCTTGCAAAATTATGTTAAAATATTGGTTATATAAATCGGATGGCAATTAACATAGCTAACTTTTTCTAGTTCTTAATTTTAAATTTCGTGAAAAAATGATAAGTTGATGAATCAGGATGAACAAATAAAAAATTATTCTAATTTGAATCGAGATTTTTTGAAATTTAAAATGCCGACACATAATCATATTTAGTCGATTAATTACAATGTTTTTTTATCGTTCCACCTAACCAGTGAGAAAAAATCATAAAGGTGATTTCTAGTGTAGACCATAGGATTAAAAAAGTGATCTTAAAAATTAGTTCCACAGACAAGAGATGAAAAAGACAAATATAAGCAAGTGGTGTGTTGGCATATAAATTCGGGAATGGCGTAGCGGGGGAAGGTGATCTAGAGGCCACTCCTCATTTCAAAAATGTTTATCATGCAATTTAATGCTTTGAAATATTTTGAAGTTTCTTCGTGTAGATTATAATTATATTCTTAAAGGTAGTAATTTACGCCAAAAGAATTTTGGTTAATATTCTGAATGTATTAACAATCGCAAATAAAAAATAATTAAAAAATAGTCGATACCTTTCATAATTTGTTGAATTTCCATTTTGAGCGTTACAATTTCCCTGTTCTTTGAATCATCTAAGGACCGTTTGATGCGGTGAATGGATAAGGCGCCGTTCTTAACGGCTGCAATATCATCATCCTCTAGGTATATGACTCGATTTGTGTGCTCAATGACAGCGCTTAATGATTTTTCAAAATATACAATATAAAAGATAAATAAGTCGAGTCTATAAAGAAAAGAAAATGCTCTCTTTCAAAAATCGGCACCCTAAATTTTCAAAAATTAGTATCCGTTTAGAGAAATATATTATTTTGTTTAAATAATTATTTTTATTAGCTTTAATCTTAATATAAATATATTATATTAATAAATTTTAAATTTTTCTTGGAATCATTTTTATATTAATTTTCTTCTCCTTCTGCAAGCACGGTTAAAATGATAAAAGGCGTAAATATATTTAAGAATATGAACAAAAAGTTTGTTTTCTCCTCGTAATATTTATTGCCTAACCCTCTATATATAGTTAGCACGAATTCGCGACGAAATATATAAAAATACACAAAAATAGAGCACATTTCAGGAAAATAAAAAAAATATAGTATTTAATACGCCCTAAACTATGAATGAGGGGTAAAAAACAATTTCTTGGAGAACGTTTAGGCTCGTTACCAATTACAAGTATAGAAAACAATAATTAGTAAATTATTTATGAATCATTACACTTGTCCTTTAATAACTTTAAGCAATTTTTAACTCTGACGTGGGCAGAAATTGGAGCCCTAGGTTAGCGAATTTATATTCAATTCATTTATGAAGAGCAATTTTAAGTTTGAAACACATGATTTTACCTGAATCTTATTTTGGTAGAGTACCTATACAAACCTATAAATTTTGTTATGAACTTTAACCACTCTTAATTAGTGATGCGTAATCGGCTAAACCTAATTAGGCTTAGCTTAGCCAATTTTTAGGCTCAGCCGATACAAACCTATAAATTTTGTTATGAACTTTAACCACTCTTAATTAGTGATGCATAATCGGCTAAACCTAATTAGGCTTAGCCCATTTTTAGGCTTAGCTTAGCCAATTTTTAGGCTTAGCCTAATTAGGCTTAGCCGATTTATTCACCTAAAATCTCGGCTAAGCCGTTTTATAGTCGGTTAAAATTAGCCGATTACGCAACACTACTCTTAATCTTCTCTTCATTTTTGATTTTTTCATATGTATGAAATTATGAGAGTCCGGCAAAGTCAGGAATTAAAAATCACGATGTTATAAAACTTCGTTCAGGCTACGACATACATCCTTTTATTTCATTTTTAAAATATACTAATATAATTTTTTATTTTTAGTCAAACCTAAATTATTATTTTCATTAAAGAGTAATTTAAAATTTTATTCTAATTAGAATAATTTTATATTAAATTATAACCTTTAAGAAAATAATAAAAAAATTGTAATGCCAAAAATTTTTTTCTCTAATAAACATTTACAGTAAACTTCTATAACACCCCCTTTTTAAAAAAAAGTAATGACGCTCCTGTTCCAATCCAGTTATTAAGCCGTTTGGAAACACATAAATACTTTTATAACTCACTTAGTTTCAAAATTTATAACTAACCTGGCATCGCTGGCAAAAAAGTACTCAACTTTTTGACGCTGTTTTGAGGGAGTAAATTGGGTGGTATCTTCGTCATCTGGGTCTATAGGGTGTTTCAGAATTTTTTCAGCCTCGTAGACTTTGTCTCGGTTGGCATTAACCGCATTGATGATTTCTTCTGGTTCCCCTGATTTAGTAGGCCGGTAGTCTATCACACAAAAAAAATTCGTAAATTTTTTATTTTCAAGATATTTTTAAAAAAAACTTAGCTAATACTTTCAACCATTTATATACTGGCAAAAATTTGATACTTACCAAATATATTATAGGCGTAATTTGCGCTTGCGTCGATTAATATAAAATACATTTAATATGTACAAATTATTCTAAGAGTTATATTACGATAACGTGTAAACTCAACCTGAATACTACTATTATAAAATTAATCTAAATTTTATTTTGCAATTTTAATTAAAGCGGTTCACACTCAACTCACGTTTACTATGGGACACATCTGCTTGTTATAATGCAACATAAATGGGGTTTTCCAACATTTAATATTAGCTGATATTATATCATATAATTATTGTTTATAATTTTTTTTTTATTTATATGTATTAGTATTATTATAATAATTAGTTTTAAATATGCATATAAATTTATTGGAAAAATATTATTGCAAATAATAAGATATCAAATTACAACAAAGATTATGGTATTAAAATGGAATTTTTTAAAGTAAAATTAGAATTTTGTAAATAAACCGTTTTGTTAGATATGAGTCACTGGATTAATATTATATAAATAGACGCGAACACATTTTAAATTATGGTAGTTATGGTTAGTACAAACGAATTAGTTTCTTGTAACATAATAAATAGGGTTAAGATTGATATTATAAGACTGGTTAAGAAAATACCTTGAAACAACGCTAAAGGTGAACAGGGCATGTTTAAGCTATCAGATATGAAACTATAGTCGTCAAAACTTTCATTTAAACTATGTCTGGAACGAGCTAAAAAAAATTAAGGAAAATGAAAAGAGCAAACCAAATATTATATTAGGTCTATTAAAGAATCCTTTGGCAAATTGGCGTTAAAAAATTTATTTATCACCTTTTTTATGCCATATTAGTAATAGTTCTTCTAAGTTTAAAATGATTATTACATACAAAGCCTTAGGAGTGTGAATCAACAATGAAAATTTCATAATATATTGTGATAAATTTCATTGTCCAACTCAAGGAAATGGCCGTTACAACAGCTGATTTATTAAAATTTTCATTCGTCCATCGTATGACCTGCCAGATTTGAAAGATTATTAATAAAAAAAGATAAGAACCATATTTAATAGATCGTAACCCCTATCTTTCAAACCTTTGATTAACCCTAATCCATATTTCTTTAACCTTTAATACTACTCCTTACTTCGGATACGAATAATTACGAATAATGCCCTATTCGATTAGCATTTAAAGAGGCCTAATAGTATAAATGTATTTTTAGCACTGAAAACATTTTTTATTTTCTCAACAACTACATCCGTAAAATGTTTGATACAAATATGATGTAATAATAAGATAATTCGCGCAATATAGAAGCATTTTTTTCGGAAATAGTGCGACGAATAAACGATGAGCTTTTAATTATATTTATGTTTCTTGATTGGAAATATTTAAAAATTTTTTTTATCTATGTTGCATATATTTTTAGTTTTTGTAATATTTTTTTTAAATGATAATTTATTAATACAAATATATTTTGAAAAAAAATATTAACTACGTTTTAAAAAAAATGTTTTAGACATTGCAGGTTATCCATATTCGACAGGTGATTTTCCGATTCCCCGATTGTCAGATTCAATGGTTATTATACAACATCCGATTCACGAATAATGAGACATAAAACATAAACGTATATAAAATCAGTAAAAAAAAAATTAAATAAAAATTAGGTTATGATTGATTAAAATTTGAGAGCATATTTTATTCCTTCTAATTTGCAAATTTTTTTATTTCTATTAAGTTGAGTTAGAATACTATAATAATCAAGCGATGATTCAAAATTTCGTCATTTTTTAAAAATAATCGAGCATTAAATAAACAAATATTATTAAAATTGAAAAAAAAATAAAATAAATAAATAAGAGAGAAGATCCGTATAGTTCTTAGAAAACAAAATAAATGCGTTAAATAGCAAAAAATAAATTATCATAACACATCAGAAACATGTGGTCATACCCAGGAACTAGGCCAGTAAAATGAATTGATAAAACTTAAATCTTATATAGTAATCAGTTGGATAATCATATGATGGATCGTTAAGCCATTCATTTATCTTTCATATTTTTGATTTCCCTTCGAAACAATTTAGAAGAAAAAAACAGCCAAAATTATTCGAAATAACCAAATTTTTAAAAATTTTAGGCTGTGCCGTGAATTAATCAAAATTTTAAGAAAATCCGGGAGGGGGGGTCGGTTATGGATTAAAAAATAATACCAGGACCGGGTCCAAATTTTTTTTAGAAAAATCGACTGGCCTTGAAGACCCAAAACAAATATTATTTTATAATAGGTCGATCTTAAGGTAAGTGTCAATGTCAAACTATATATAGTTAAATGTCAACAGTAAAAAAAATTAAAATCAGTTAAGTTCTCAATTTATCAATTTTGTGATAAATTAGACACTTATTTAGTCTTTAGTAGATATAATAAACCATTCATGACCGCATATCAGAAGAATTTTGAGGGGGTATATACAGTATAGTAATATTCATATAAAAAATAAGCAGTAATGGACAGCTTAAAATATATTATTTATCTTAACCTAAAATTCTGAGTCTATGTAAAATTTACTACATTTTTGGGGAAAAAACAATTCTTACATATCATTCGAATAACTAGGCCTGTTCAACCCGAATATGAATCGAACTATAAATTACTCGCATTAGATTCTTAATGAAATCGAATAATTTACTATTCGTACATATGCCGTTAAGGATGTGGAATCCATGGGAATTCAGGGTCTCTGAATTTTACTGAGGGGAGTTTGATTTGACCGGAAATATGTAGAATATCCAGACTATAAATTTCAAACAATTTTGCCGGGAACTTTTGAACATATCTTAAATTTATATTAACCTTAATATATAGACTCAAAAATATACTAAAAAGTTAACAATTTATAAATTTTTTAGGATAGGTACTCTTAGAAAAACTGAAATATATTTCCGATGAAATCAAAATTTTCAAAATTAAAAATTGCTTTCATAACAATATCGAAGAATAGAACTTTTGTCATAAATTATTCGATATTCGTTTATTAAATGAATCTAATACGAATTATTCTCATTATTCGACTGATATTCTTTTTTAAATAGGCCCTACAATTATGAATAAAATTTCCTTTGACCATATATGCAATTGGGGGAAAGAAATTAAGTTACATTTAAAATTATTAGGCCCGATTAACCTAATAATAAATAAATTATTCAATATAATGGGAGAAAAAAAACAATCTTATTGTTGTTTACCTTTGCTGTAAAGAATAGGAATGTGATCCGTGTTAAATCTGGCGTCACTTTTTATTCCGATCAAAAGAGGGCTACCTCGCCTTTTATTAAAAAAATAAAAGTTTAAAAAAAAGGAGCAAGTTATGGGTATTGATAAAAATATAAAAACTAGGAAATTTGCAGTCCATTTCTTAGAAACCAGCATGACAAACAGATCAAAAAATAATCGGCCAAAATAATAAAATTGAGCTTACCCTTTTTAAAAATAGCGAGATGTAAAAATTGCCATATAATCCTGATCTCACTACTATATCATTATAAATCTTAAATTAAGGATAAGTTTATAAAAATTCGAGTAATTTTACGGGTGTCTAGTTAGTAATGATGTAATATTATTTATTACCTAGCAGCGACTATTTCCCCGGGGAAATGGGTACTTTTAAAGCACAAGGCAAAAGCTCCTTCCTAAAAAAAATTAATTTCTATAATTATTTTTATACAAAAAATGGTTTAAATTTGCATCGTGGTTCATGGTGGATATTATCTGATATGATTTAACGACTGATTGAAATAATAATGTCATTTAATGAAATCAGTTTTTATTAGTTTCATCTTTATTTCCAATCAATAACGATCCAAGATTTGAGAATTATATTAAACCCATAGATTCTATAAACTCAATCAGCTGTTAAATCGTTAAATCATGTAATATAGAACCCAATACGAATTTAGCTTCAGAGTTTGAAACCTGGCAGTTCCTGAAATTTTAAAGTTTAAATTTGGGTCAAAGCTCAATGTTTCCAGTTTTAAACTTTCTAAAACCTAGCAGAAAAGGAATACAAACATGTATTATAATATTCGCTTTCCAACGTTCCAATGAATGTATAACGAATTAATTTTGGGACTCGCGTAACTTTATTGCAAAGGTTTTTCAGTTATTAAGGGTTCAGCTTTTCCTCTATTTTAAATTTCTGGGTCTCTTGGGTAGATTATATTCCATTTGATTTTTATTATAAAGAGATCATCACGATCAAACACAACAATTTTTTTAAAAAAATAAATTAATATAGGTTGTTTATTTTTTTTAAAAAAATCTAAAATATTTAGAAAACGTTTACAGTATATAAAGATAAACATGTTATTGAGCCAAGATATTTTAAAATTGATAGTAAATATTTTTTTCGAATAAGATTTTAATGTTGACTTTTATGAAATATTTATTTATCAATAGTAGATTTTTTCCCGTCATTATTTTAAATGAGGTTGATAAGTAATCGCTCAAATCGAGCCAATTTTTAAAAACGGCTAATTCAATATTTTAGATAGAAAAATATTATTCAAGCCTGAAGATTTCGCCCATATAGATTAGTGATCTGCATCGGGCCTAATTTTTCAAGCCCGGCCAGGCCCGAAATTTTTTTTAAAAAAGTTTTGCCGGCCCGGCCCTAACCCGAATATTTTTTAAAAAAATTTACCGACCCGGCCCGAATTTATTTAAATATAGAAATTAATTTTTTTTAATTACTCAAAATAAAAGACATATGTTATATGTTGTTTAATTTCGATAAATAAAATCAGATATTTTTATTTTACATAAAAAATTCAATATAAAATTGATAAATTTAGATATATTTGAAAAAATTTCTAAGGTCCGACCCGACCCGGCTCAATCATTTTAAATAGAATTAGGCCCGAGCCCGGCCCGAAGCCCGTTGGGGACGAGCCGGACTCGGGCCGGGTACGGGTCGGACCTAACTTTGCAGATCTCTAATATAGATGGCACACAGTTTACGCATCCATTATGGAAATTTCGAAGTTTTTATAATATTTTTCTTGTTAAATATTAAGTTAGCCAATTTTAAGATTCGGATCAAATCGAGCAGTTTAACAACACTAGTCAGTCACAATACAAAACGTTATGTGTGACATCTTTTAAATTATTGCTTTTTGAAAGTGAAGTCCTCTATCACTTACCCCTCATTCATAGTTATTGCGAACTATACTAAATGTGCCCTATTTTAGTGCGTTTTTATATATTTCGCCACGAATTCGCGCTAACTGTGAATGCAGGGTTACGCTGAATTTATAATAAATGCGTTCTGAATTTATGATAAACACGTTATGTACAAATATTGCGTCATTTAACGCTATCGAAATCAAAGCTGATTCTTCATAGCAATAATATTTAATAAAATATATCTTCTATATAACAAATATTAAATAAAAATAATCTACTGCATTTAAAAAATTGCTAATAAAAGCTTTATAATCGTATTGCATATTTTTTGTCATAGCATCGCAACAAATCTTTCGAATTCTATCATAGCGTTCATAACGCTATTTTTAAATTATACCTATTGGCGTGATTTTGTAAATAACGCAGAACACGTTTACTATAAATTCGCCTTTTAAGGCCCGATTATATTTTTTATCATGATCTATATAGGACCAACACCAACAAATGTCTATTATATTTCAATAATAAAATATATTTTATGAAAAAGGAAATTATGAAGTATAAATATATTATAAGAAGCATCTTTTTATTATGATTCAAATTTTTATATTAAAAATAATGTTTTTAGTCTATCCTGAACAATTTTAAAAAGAAAACATGAAGTTTGCAATGTGATTAGTGTTAACTGTTTAACATCACAAGTGTCACCAATGTATCTTCATGGGAATTTATTTCTGAAATGGAAGATTTTACTATATATTGAACTAATTACAAATAACACCACTTAAATGCAAAGCATTTGGGAAAAAAACTAATTTTTTCTGGTATATTGAATTTAAGCAATAATTTTAATCTATTCATGCTTACCTTTTTAATTGATTAATAATTGTGGTTTTTAATTTGTGTAATAGATTTATCTGTTAAACATTATGAATAAAAATGGCTAAAAAATCTTTTCTATTTTTCTTAATTTAATTATTTTTTAATAATCATATTGTATCGTCATCCAAATCCTCATGCATGAGGTAAGACATGAATTCAAAAACATTTTCCTTTTTAATTGATAATGATTAACAATTAAAATTTTCTCTGATAAAAACATTTTATAATTTTTTGAACAATGACAAATAATTTTATAAAATAGGCTAGCATACAATGTGAAGCTAATAAAACTCATTATTATTATTGACTTCTAGCTAAGAAGCATTTTTCTAATTATATTAGAAAATAAGATTTTAATATATAATTGAAATTTAAACTCTTACAAATCACAATTTTGATTATAAAGTTAATTAAATTAATCCCTCTATTTGAAAGTAATTAATATTATTTAACATTATATTAGTATAAAAAGGGACTTTAAAACTTTCACATATATATAATAATTCTCACTTAATCGTTTGCATTTATACAATAATAATTAACATACATTTGAATGATAAGTTCAACTAATTTTAAAGAAATATTTCTAAATATTTGTTAACAAAAAACAAAATGCAGTATAGAATTATTTTTAAAATTTTATTTTCATAAATATTTAATAAATTTTTACTAATTGTTGAGCAACTTGTTCCACTAATTGAAGGAAAGACATATTAGGATGCTTATAGTATAAATGTTGTATTAATTTAGCTATAATTTCAGTATCCGTATCTGATTCAAATTTCATATCTTTTGTTTCCTTAAAAAAAATATTTATTACATTTTAACCATAAATTATTATATTATTCAGAATCATCTAAATATTTATCATATAATCAGTTTTACCAGAAATTTTTTAACTTCTTTGTAATTATTAATAATACCATTATGGACTACTAAAAATTGATGATCAATACCAGATCGCTGAGGATGACTATTTACAGCAGATGGCACACCATGAGTGGCCCATCTTGTGTGAGAAATTCCACTATGGATATCAAACACCTCATCAAAATTTAATACATTTGCCAAACCTACAAATATTTAATGCAATGCAATTGTAATTTTTATAACTTTTTATCTCATCTTCCAAAACTTTTACTTTACCAGGCTTTTTAATAACTATTATATTTGACTTTTTTTGATCTCCTGTGTCATCTTTGAAGGATCCATCAATTGCCAGTCCTGTTAGTAATTAAAAATATATCCCAAAAATTTGAATTCTGATTAACCTGCACTATCATATCCTCTATATTCTAATCTTTGCAGGCCTTGAATTAAGATAATTAATATTTCTCTTCTTGTTCTAGGAACTAGGAAATTAAGATAGGCAAATATTCCTAAAATATTTATAGCATATACAATAAATTTAAGTAACTTACCGCACATATTTTGATAAAATTTTAAATGTTAACTACAAATTTTACTTAATTTAGCAAATTGTAAATAAAAATTAGTAAATAAAACGTCGCAATTAGCTAATGTCAATAATTCTATTTTTTAAATAGCAATATAAACACAACTGATTTCCACGCGGAAAACATGAGAAAATCATTTAGAATAATCATTTGAAAGTGAAAACATAGATAAATTAATATAGATAGTAACAGAATCGTGCAGACGGGGGGGGGGGTGGCAGTCGTCCGGTGCTGCCAAAATTAGACAATTTTTAGGGCCGCTAAATCGTCTAAAAACTATTTTTTAATATACTACATACAAAGTCATTACTTTTTTTGTAAAATATTATTGTATATAATTTAAAAAAAAGTTTAATATGTTTAATAAAAAATCTAATTTAAATTTTACTAATTTACTGAAATGTTTTTTTCTATTTTTAAATAATCTTTAACAATTTATTAAAGTTTTCTATTAACAGAGAATCAAGATAATATGTAAGTAAAAAATTAAGTAAATTTTTTTTTTAAAAAAAATGATTTCTATTAAATGACTATTTTGATAAATATTTGGTCTATTTTCTCGTAAAGGGATACTATTTTAAAATAAAAGAGTTTACACCTTAGTCTATTTAATACATATACCTATCGGGTGGACACACTTAGATTGAGTTATTATAATTAAGATTAATTCGACTATTAAATGTACTATGTAATATGCTAGTTTCAGACTCTTTAAAAATGACGAACTTGATTAATATAAATATATTATTAATTAAGTGAATTAAATTGTTAGATCACCATATAATATTTTATATCATAACCAACATTTCATAAATCTAAAAAACAAATAGATAAGAGAACCATCGAAGAAACGAGGGATATTTTATTATAAATTTAGGAGTATCACCGATGATGGCGATATCTTTTAAATAATTTAATATGATACTCTTTATTCTTTTTAAAATAAATTCAAATAGTAAAAGTTTATAAAAAAATTATGTGATCTTTACAATTTCTTTTTATGTGATAAATATAAACTATTCACTATTTAGAAATTAATACATCTCTTAAAATAAATCACTATCAATAAAAATATGTATTTAAAATGTAAACTACAACTAGCCACCCATTATTAAACCCAAGTCTTAGGGGTAATTGATAATACATGACCAATAATTCACCAAATATGGACGTTTTTTATTTACTTCAAACTATATATTTAAACATTCCATCTATCTTGATAAAATTTTGGCCAAAAAATGATCTAGAGCGACTTTATAATAGGAATTAAGAATGGCGGTTTTTTCATAGGAGGATTTCCCATGGAATCATCTTTATTACGAAGTTTCCATAAGAAATGCGGTTTTTTTGTCCATAGGAGTCCGCTTGACACTCCTCTCACGAAGAATATGGATATGCGACTTTTTTATCAATAGACGCCGTTTAATTCATCTCACGAATAAGAATAAAGAAAATTATATAATTTCCCCGACTACAATTTCCTTGTAATGCCATAAATTTATATTTCCCTAATTTGAATAAAGAAGAGAATATATTTTCATAATTTTGTAAAAGCGTAAATTTCATATATCTCTAATTCGAATCAAGAATGGAATATATTATTTTATATTTCATAATTTCCTCCGATTATTACAATTTCCATTTAATACCGAGAATTTTATATCTCTAATTCGAATAAAATAATATAAACTATTTATACCCAAAATTCTCATGCACATCTCTTCCATTATTATCGATAAATCATTTATGATTCCATAATTTCGAATATGATTTACTAAAAATTATTTTAAAATCCTGGAATAATTCCCACTAAAAATAAAATTTTCATTCTATTCTGCAACACTACGAGTTATCATATTTCGGAAATAATTTATGCACTGGAATATGATTAGAAACATTTCTCAGATCGCGTAAATCATTCTTTAATAATATGTTGATAGTCTTTACTAATGGATTGAGTTAGAAAATCGAATTGGCAAAAATCAAAGGAATAATGAACATGAACAACTAATACCAGGTACAAAAAGTGATGTGATGCTGATAGAATCATCGATATCAGTCTTTTTGGGTCAAAGAAAATTACCTTGTAGAAAAAGCATAGAAAAACTCAATCATCAAATAGAAATATTTTTTATTTATTCTCGAAATTTAATATACTATTATTAGATCGGATGCTGTCAATTAAATATTATATGTTAGATTAGGAAACGTTAGAAGGGAATATTAATCCTCAAGATCTAATAGAATTAAAAATTGTAGTGAATATATTAAATAAGCATCCCATAAAAACTCATTTGAAAATTTTACGCTATATTAACAATAATAGGTTAAACGAAGCTTTACAAAATATAGCCATTGTTACCGTGACATCCTCAAACACAGCTTTGCTCAAATTAATTAAAACTTACCTACAATCCTGTATGGAATAGACCAACTTGTTTATTTCTTTTCAATTTTAATAGAAAATGATATCGTCTCATCGTTTTAATTATACTGATATATAATATCTTCATTTTGCAAAAAGGCGAGGAGGAAAAATAAAAGTGGAATATTTTAATTTATGATTATATTAATTTTATAATGAGCGTTACTTATTTATGTTTAAAATTTCATAAATTATATATGTTTTTAGTTTCTCATTGCGAAAACTTATCATATAAAAAGTAAATTGTGTTTTTCAAATGGCCGCCAAATTATTTTTTGCCCTCTTTTACAATTCAATATAATCATATGTTCTATTTTAGGTCCCCAAAAAATCAAAAATAAGAAATAGTTTGATCTTTTTTAAAAAAAATTTGAATACAACAAAATATTTAAACATTTTAATTCCTAATAATATGCAATCACGCTTAAAGTTTTCCTGATGTTTTCCATTTTGGATTGTAAATCATAATTTGTATATAGAATATGGCTACCGTCCGGTGTATTCGAACAGAAATAAATGTTCTTAAAACTGCCAAGAAACATCCTTTCTTGATTGGACTTTATGCATTTTATCAAACTCTGCGCAAGTATTGTATTATTTATCACCGATTTAATGAGAAAGTATGAAAATATAAAAGTTTTAGCTAGGGTCATAATAAACTGAAAACATTTAAGAAAATGAGAATTTATATGTTAATTGATTATTCCTCATGCTAATCACTTCAATGTTATAAGAGATAATTTTATCTCATGATATGAGCGGTTTTTTAAAAGGTTTACATAAAAAGTTGATCCTGAATGAACTTTCAAAAATAAACATTTCATATTATTTTTTTTGTAGCTATATAATAGTTAGGGATTTCACTTCTGGCGGTGATCTTAGATCCCTTTTAAAAAGATAAAGACTCCTTGAAGATCACGCTATATTTTATTCCGCCGAAATCGTGATTGCCATAAAATATTTGCACGACAACAGTTTTTTAGAATATATTTTTTTAAATGATATGTTCTTGTATTTATTATATATTATTGTTAATTTTAACGTAATTAGGTACATTTTTTAAGTTACTTTTATATAAACTTTTTAGAATTATTTTCTTTCTTTATAATTTCTATATATATTTTTTTATCTTTTTAGGGATCATTCATCGTGACATCAAACCGGAAAGTATACTTTTAGACCGGAAAAGCCATGTGAAACTAGGCAACTTTGCATATTGCAAGGTATGTAAATAATTATTTTGAAAAAATTTAATAATAGACATTTGTGCCAAAACTATGACCAGCGGTGCGCTGCTTTTTAGCGGCCGTCATTTTGGGCGATATAAATCGGTGCACCGACTTAAAATTTAATATATTAAATTTTCAATTTTAATTTGCTAATAGATTTTTAAGAAAAGCTAAATATAGTTAGAAATAAAATATATACAGCTGATATATAAGCATATCATGATCTTTAGTGAAAAGAAAACGAATTTTAAAATAAATAATATTTTGTAATTTTAATCATTTGTAAACGAGTATCAAAATATAGATCTATATTGTCAAGATCTAGCAGTTCTCAATTCGATCTATTGCATTTAGGAATTTTTTCTGATTTATCGCTTACTTAAATTCAACCTCTACCTTTTTTTTATCTTATTGCAGTTATTATCTCACTTATTTTTTCGATTAGATTTTTTCAATATAACTACCTAATCTAACCCTTTGTAACCAACAAAAATATTTGTCAGAATTTATTGAAATTGTTTTATAATCTTGTTTTATTACAAATGTCCAATAGAATTTCCATACGAATGATTTTCTATTTTTATTGTTTGCTGTAATAATATCGAAATCATTGATAAATTTATTAATGTATATGCAGACATCATTATCCATTTTAAAAATATACAAATAAATGGTATCCCTTATAGTTTTCTATTTGATAGAATAACAGCTGGCCGTCACAATCATAACAATTTTATTTTAATCAGAGTTTGGAACCTTTAGAAAATACTTTGATCCACGAAACATATCTGAAAACTTCATTTTAAATTACCAGGAATAGGTTCTGGAAACCGATTAGAATATCTTAAACATTTTTGTCATTCCTTAAAAAAGAATTATTTAAGCGAAAGAAATATTGCTAAACATTTATTATTTCATAAATTACCATTTCTAGTATTTGTAATTAATTCTTCTTATTAATCTTGTGTAAAAATCATATTGATTTGTATAATACTGCGAGAAAATTTATAGTTAAATTTGTTGAGCCGAGTTAATACTGATTTGTATCTACCGTAATTACTTAAATTAGGAGGGCATTGCAAAAGGCGACAAAGTTAATGGCTTCTATGGGACAATCCCTTACATGGCGCCCGAGATTATGCGTAATGAATACTATGGTAAGTATATTATTTATTTTTATATTTCTCCTTATGTCGAATGTAGAATATAATTTATATATCTTTTAAACCTAGTTTTAAAAATTTTAATAATTAGTACCAAAAGTTCATTTTTAACATTTAAATTTTAGCTAAAATTTAAAAATATTAGATAATTTTTATTCAAAAATCTATTAATTATGAAAGATTTTAGCGTAGATTGGTACTCGTTCGGAGTTGTTCTCTACGAATTACTAATTGGCCCTGTCTATTTACTAGGGTCTGATGAAGCTACCTCTCGCTACTACCAAAGTTAAATAAATTACTATTAATGTTTCTTTGAATTTTGTTTTTTTTTACTAATAATTAGCTTTTTAAAATTATTTTTATTATTAATAACATGTAATCATGTTTCATTTTTTGTTAAATTCAGCAATACTTTTAGGTCCATGGAGTGTATCAGTCGAAGCCACCTCTATATTGAATGGATTCCTCAATATGGTTTGATAATATAATTAGTGCATTTAAAATATCAATTTTATATATTATATTTGTAGAATCCTGAGGAAAGACTAGGAGGAAAGACTAGGAGGAAATCTAGAAAATGGTTTTAATGATATTTCATCCCATTCATTTTTTGCATCGATACATTGGGATAGGGTAAAATGTGTTTTATAATTTAAAAAAAGAATATATACATAGTATTATCTTATTTTTAAAATTAAATTTTTCCTCCCTCTTCCATTTAGCTCCAAACAAAGGAATTATACCCACCTCACAAACCGATGAGAAAAATGAAATTTGGGGTTTTAAGATATTTCTTCGATGCGTTACTATATTTAGCATACATGAAGGATTTAATGTGATTATAATTATTATTATCAAATCTAATAAATAGTGAAAAAATAATATTGATTACAATTTACGTTGACATATGTTATATTAAAACAATTTATTAATTTAATTGTCTTTTATATAGGTTGAGTTTTTTAAATGCTGATTAAATTTATTTAGATTTAAGAACAACTTAAGTTAAAGTTTTTGAAATTAAAATTAAAATATATTATTAATTTGTAGCAAATTATTGAAAAGTATTGTTTTTTGAAAAATTTATTGTAGGAGTTCCAACATATGACTAGTTTCATATAATCCTATGCTAATATTTTTTATTGTTGCTTATGTAATTTTCGCTTATTTTTATGTTTAAACAAAATGCCTTAAGTTTTATATAAATCAGGGAATGAATCAAGATTTTATATATGCTTATTTATTAAAAAGAAATATGATAAGTTAGAAAGTCCTGCAAGTTTCACCAAAAGCAAATGTATAAACGCCGACAATGGTATAAATATTTTTAAAAAATTTTGATTTTATATTGTTAAAAACACCAACTGGGATTATACTAAATAAAACCCGAAAAAACGAATTTTCTTATAAAAAAAATGATCTATAATAAAGTAATGGCTTATCACCACTTTTACCATCACAACTAATTCTCTGAGATTGGCTATAGACTTATGGAAATCAAACTCTCCAATTATTTCCTTGCTTTTATCTTCCATACACAAAATTGGGATTTACTCTTATTCCAGCATTTCGTTTATATTCTTTTACTTGAAAGCAGCTTTAAAACGCTCTTCATAGATCTATAACCCAGATATCATCTCCCTAATAAATCAAAGTAGGGATTCTTCATCAAAAATTTAAAATTTAAACTTAGGTTAGGAATCGAAATCTCAAAGCCCTGGCAATAATTTTCAGGCTAAAATATTGAGTTAGCCATTTTACACTTGTTTGTACATCTATATTTGCTTTCATTTAGAGTAAGGTAAAAATAAACAATATTTTGGCATAGCAAAATGATTGGTTAAATAAAGGTGCTAAATCTAAATTAGATATTCTAATTTGATTAATGCTAAATTAAATGAATCTTTATAATAAAAATCATGGCCTTTCCCGAAAAAACAGTATTTATGAAAAATAATGATGGTTTTAACCACAATATTAACTAGGCAAGTATTACCGCATTCTTAATTTTATATATAAAAAAACGAAAATAAAAATTATTAATTTACTCGAGTTCATAACTACTGTTTAGGAACTAAGTTCACAACTCGAATTAGTTTGGGAAGATTATTTCGATCCAAAACTTGGCTCCAGTTGTAGACTTAGCCGATTGACAACACTTATATATAACCAACACTGTTTAATTTGGGCACCATCATGGCTAAGATTTTGTCCAATTTATCGAGATTTAATGTTTAAAAAAATCTTTTACCAATATGTTATATTCTCAGTTTAACAAAAAATAATTAAAATTCTATCCCCTGGTACAACATTATTTTGTGGCCAGACACTAATAATTAATATAGCAGACAAAGATGCCCTAGTTAGAACCACTAAAACCACTTCTACTAATATTTTTTTTGAATAAAAGATACTAATATAATAGAAAATCTTGAAGACGGGTTTTTTGAATCTAAAAATACTTAAATGAATATTTTTGATAATTTTTCTTATATTAAAAATATGTATATAAAATTAATAATTTCTGATTGTTTAGACTTGGTAGATTTGGCCGAGTTTCTAAAATAAAATTAATAATTTTTACATCAATATATTTTGCCCAATTTTATCTAAAGATGTAATAGCTAACCCCCCAATAAATTTATCCTATTTCTAGCCTACCCTCCTTAAGACACCCCTATCCCAAATAAGCAAACTCTTCCTATCCCCCCCCCCCTTTCATGCCGAAACTATGAGATAAAAAGTATAACGAATAATGTTAGTTGTATTATATATTAATTCCTTAGAATTATTGCTTTTTTTATAAAGATTATTAGAGTTTGTCTGTATGAGTTTGTCCACATCAATTCATTGGCTTGAGGATGAGTGATAAATAACATTATATAGATTAAAGAAATAGATTTAATATTGTTTGAATTTCTTAACAAAAATGATTATCACCGACTAATTGGTTATATTACCTCAAAGAATAGTTGCATTTATTAAATTTATGGGAGATGTAACCCAATTTTAATATAAGGGGCCGCTTCTTGTAAATATTTTAGCGTTGAAATAATCTATCACCGATTCAATATATATTGATTTTTTAGATTATTAATAATTAATATTTGGTTTTTTTATTATTAATTAAACCCAAATATTGTTCAACAAAAATATACAATATATGCAAGTAAATATAACGTAAAAACATGAAAAACAAATCAATGATAAACCATTTACATCTCAATTATTTATAAGTATACATGGCATTGTATTCTTATTTATATATTAATATTAAACGAATTTAAATTTATACAGGTGAAAAAAGTAGGATAGAATTATATAATTCATTTATCAAAAAAAGTTATATAATATATATATATATAAAGATGCAAGGCGTGTAGCCAAGAATTTGTTTGCTTGGGAAGAGTTGGATAAATAAATGCAAATTATTAAATTTGGTATGATTGATTCTTGAAAAATTGTTTCGTTTTTACTTTCTGACTAGTTTTCTTGTTCATGAATCATTTTCTTTTATAATTTTAATTAATAGCAAATTAAAAATGCTTACTAATTTTCCCGTAGTCAAAGTTTTCTATTTCGGTTCTTTATATGAATATTACCCCAGGCAGGCCAATTTTTTCTGAAGAATAAGTTGAACTTAAAAGGTTACTTCCATTATTGGGAATTTAACAAGTAGGCAAGCATTATGAGAAGTTGTATTTATATCATTTTTTCTTAATTAAAACATATTTATAAAAAAAATATTCTTATTGTCAAATACGTGTATTGAATAATTGGAAGGTTTAAATTGTAATCAAATTAAATGACAATTATATGAAATTATCGATGGTATGGAAATTTTATTAGAAATAGTGAGATCGAAAATGTAATCATTCAAGAAAAGAAAAAGAAAAGAGAAAGTTTTAAAATTTTACTTTATATTTTGATTTATCAGAATGATTTTGATTAACTATATTATTTTAATAAATAATTTGTCATCTTCAATTTTGGATCTTCATATTTAGTATTTGTTTTAAAATACTTATGATGGAGAAAATATTGGGTCTTGGCATGATTGAATAATATTTTGTTCTAGAGATAACATCCTCTCATTCTTTACTTGGGCTAAGTGCATTTGTCCCCTTGAATTCCCAACTGACATAGCTAGCGGTTTAAGTATATTTTAAAACTTTAAAATTTTTTTATCCAAAATTGTTTTTTGTCTAAGATATGATTGTTTATTATCTTTTTTAAAGCTCGTTTGCGAATTTGTATTTGTTGCATGCATTTTATTGAAGCCTACCTCCTTATACTAATTATACTTAAAGTAGATGATAGGCTGTAGCGAAAAATACTGCACTTATATGTTCATTTTTAAAAAAATTTAACATAATAATAGACATATATGAATTAAATAACTACTCGTTAAAGATATAACATTTTAGAGTATTTGATCAAATTTGATCTATCAAATATACTTTCTATTTATACTTTATTTGACTGCCAGTCCTGATTTAAGCATCTAATTTCGTAAATTCGTTAAACCTATTAATGAAGGCCTGCAATTCCTACCCCAGTAACATCCAAAAAAATTTAACTGGCCTGGTAAAATAATTATTTGGCTAGGGTTTGATGAATTCTTAAATTTTATAGAAGTGATAATCAATAAAGTGTGGTGTTTTTAATTTAACTGCTCCCCAATATTATTAGTTGTTTATTTTGGTGTTCCGGGTTAGGTCTTATATTTTAAAAAAAACCTGGCTGGGCAACAAAAATTTATAAAAGTGCTGCGCCGGATACAAATTTAACCTTTCGGGCCTGAAAATTTTGCATATGCAGAGCAATAATTACTAATACCTAAATATTCTGTTAATTTATCAAACATAAATTCTAAATATAATTTTATGCTCAAAATGCTGTTATGAGAATATTTTCCTGCTAAAAATTTGTTTTTCCCGTGTTTGGAGTCGACTGAAATGGAGGTATCACTATTATCTAATCATTCTAAAATAAAAAATTTCTGCAAATTTTTCTTTTTGAGAATTTAAAATCAATTTTATAATAATTACTCTAAAAAAATGCCTAATAATTAGGACTATCCACCATTTTCGATTTTTGATGGTTTATCTATTGCACGGATATGTACCCGCTGTGTACCGATTTGTATCGTATTCAGTTCTATTTGTACCATCACCATTTAAGATATTCAAAGAATAAAAGGGTGGGGCCAACTTCACGGTAGCCCCGCCATATTTGAATTTTCAAATAAAAAGTATATATAGATCGATAGAGATAATATACATATCAGCCCAATAAATAAATCATCAAAAATCGAAAATGGTGGGGCCAAATTTACGGACCTTTAATAATTAATATTTAAATGTACATTAATACATAATAATATTCTTAAGAAATATTGCATATAAACCACCAAGGTATTTACAAAAAAAAATATACGCAATATACTTTGTTATTTCGCATATGTTTAACAGTATTTGGTAGAGTGATATAAAGTCCGATTAATTTTTAAAAACGACCCAATTAAAATTTTACCAAAAATAAAATTTCGTAAGCCTGGAGATTTTACTTATAGATGACAGAAAGG